GAGGCATCGTGTGCTGAGGCTGGTTTGCGCTAGGAACTCCTTTGAGAAGCTGGAGTTCAAAAGAGCTGAAGGCTGTCTTGTGGCCTGTCAGAAGGACTAGGTTCTCTTCCTTTCTGGGCAGATGTCCAGCTCCACTGCCCCTTGTCTAGTGCTGATACTGTCTGGAATTCCTCAAGGCAGACTTGTGTTGAGAGACCAGGAGATGCCTAGGATGTGGAATTGGAGAGGAACTGAAGCTGTTGGTCCATTCCATCTCAGCTCAGAAGGATCCTGGGGGCAGTAAGTCACTTTGGTGTCTGAGAAGTGATGCGTTGTGACAAGCTGACTCCTTCAGAGCTCATCCAAGCACATATTTCATAAAATTTCATAAAATCTGAGGAGCAAATTGTATGCTGCCTGGGAGCCAGAGGGAACTGAAGCCCCTAGCATAAGCAAGCAATTGCTTAGATAACCTCATCCCTCTCTGTGCATTAGACATCTGACACGCTTGTGTCTACCTGTGTGTTATTTCCATAAATTCTTTCATTTTGAAATAGGCTGCTGCAAATGTATGCAAGAGAAAACTAGGATGCTGTGTCCTGGCACAGCACCGTGCTGGAAGGGAAATAGGAAGAGTGCCCATCCATGGCACTGTTTCTGGAGGAGTATTTTCTTATTGCAGGATGTTACCAGGCTATTTTTAAGAGGGTCCTGGTAACTCTGAAGCTAGTTCTTCGATATTAGGATAGGAAGCAGCTTTTCCCAGTATACTGATACTACTCTAATTTGGGCGGTTGCATTCTTCCAGAGTAGATCTGTCCTGCAAATTTTTTCATGTGTCCTAAGCTTTAGTTTAATATTGCTGCAAGTAGTTGAAAAGCTACTGCATTTCACCTCAGAAGTGGCTGTATTTTTGTGCTGGATGACTTTTTAGGATGCTTTGGAATGAAAGAGATCATCTATAAGCTAGCCTTTACTTCACTGTGGAGTCATTCCTAGTCACTGAGCAACTTTTGAGAAAAATAAAACTGGTGAATGCAGGGAGTAAACATGTCTATTTTTGTAGTTTGCCTTCCAAGTCAAACAAAAATAAGAGCTGACTTGAGGCTGGAGACTGCATGACACACTGTTAACTGAGAACTGGCAACACAGGGCCTGATCCTCTCTGCTGTAAGTCCGAATGGCATTTCTGGAGTCGGTGGAGTTCAAGTTCATGCCCTCCAGCCACACAGCCTGTAGCTTTTTTAAAAGTTAACTGTGACATAGCGGGGCAGTCAGGTGAGCCATGTGTGGTCAGTGTTGGGAGGAAAACCTGGAGTCAGCTGTGAATGTTGTCGGTGATTCAGCTCCTATCTGCATCTTCTGTGTCAGAATGGAGCTGAATTTCTCAGCGTGAGCTGGCAGCGGTCTTGCCTTCCAGCCCTGGTGCATGCAGTCAAGTTGGATTACTGGCACCTTGGGTAACTGCCCACCTGCACCGGGCTGCACGAGCCTTCCCTGGAGTTCAAGGGGGAGCTTTTACTCACCTCATTCTTCCAGTGCTGCAGAGCTGCTTTGTTTCCTTTCCAAATGGGGAATTTCCAAATTGCCATATATAGATAGCCCCTCCAAACAAAAACTTTTATGTAGAGCTGAAAAAAGGCTGTGTTCCCAAAAGCCTGTTTGTTCCAGCCGTGGTAATTTGTCTCAGAAAGGGTATTGCATCTTTTTAGAAATTGAGCATTGTTTACATCCCCAGAATGTCACGGCAGCTGCAGCGTGCCATCAAAGCCTTCCCACGTGCAGAACGCTGAAGCGTAGCACAGTACTGAGGGTTTGTGCTTTACAATATATGCGTGTACATGTCTGAGTCTCAGTAATATCACAATCAAAATATGCTAGATTGGTTGTTGGTGGTTTTCATTTGGGTTTTTTTGTTTTCTCTTCTTACAATCATTAATTGCTCCTGAGCTGTTCCATAACATGGCATGGTAAGAAGATGATCATCCTGAGTGAATTGCGGTCAAGTCAATGACAGGTGGAGAACATAAGCTTAGCAGTGATAGGGAGCTGAGCCTAAACTGAGATCTGCGGTCAGATTCCAATCACATTTAAATGGGAGCAAGTCTGGAGTGATACTCCTGGCTTCAGAGTGCAGGATGCAACTAGGAAAAAGAATCAGCATGCACATGCACCAGTCTTACTGGAAACAGGATCTGTCAGTTACAGTAAAGTTTAAAAATAAAACAAAATTGTGTAAGATCTAATTATTTTCCAGGCTGTTTTTTCCTGCTTCCACATATCCCAGCAGGACTTGCAGGGAGATAAAGGCTGAAATCTCTCCAGGCTGCAGGGTGTGAGACCAAATGGCATTCACATTGATAAACTGACAAAAAAGGGAATTAATCTAAGATGAGCAATGCTTCCGTGGAAAGACTTCCTTGGGAAGTGAGTAATAGAAGGAAATCATCTCCATATATGCACCAGCTCTAATCAAGGGGCTCTGAACACGCATCTATGAGCCCTGGGAACCAGACCCATAGCATTTCTAGCCCACTGTCTTTGCAATCATCTTCCCTGAACAGGTCATTGGGCAATGGGGCAGAAGGACGATAGGACAGGAGCGGATGGGTATCTAGGTTAGTTGATGAGAAGTAGATGGTTTGCAATGGGGCAACACTTGCTTCCTCTAGCCCATCCCTTCCATGTCCCAGCTCCAGAATACAACCAGTGTAAGAATAGCAAGTAGGACATATTCAGTTGTATCCTTGTTCTCTGCTGGTGAATAAGTACTTCACTCAACAGTGGTTTGGAAAGCCTGTTGCCTTCTTGGCTGCCATCACGGTCAATACATCAGCAACTGAATTGAATGTGGATCCGTGCAACGAGAATCAAAGAATTTGCTCAGATTGGTGACTTAGACCATGGTGTGATTTGCTTTGCTGTGTAATTTTTCCCCTGGAAACTTGCTTGCCAAATGAGACTACAGACTGACAGCTTCACTGCTAGAGTACCTGCACTTCCTACCGACTTCACTATGAGTGCTGGTAAATAAGCACAACCCTGACAGGGGCAGGCCCAAACCCCACTGCTTCGGAGGAAGAAGTCTGCTCTTGATTTCAAAAGGCAATGATCAAGCCCACTGTGCCTATGGTCAGACATAACTCAGCATATCCACACTGATTTCAGTGGGCTGTAACATTGAGAAACTCTTCTCTGTGTGTCAGGGACACCAGCTAGGAACAGTATTTGGTCACCGTAGCTATTGCACCAGGATCCAGATGCCATTTCTGAGGGGATCTCACAAGTTACATGCTGTTGGAATGAGAGCAGGGGTATCTAATTCTTTTGAGTACCTGGGTAATGATTATTCCAGCCTGCATGAATCACTGGGTGAGGCTGTTACTTATACAGGATTATGCTACATGGGATTGAGGTATTCACACTACCTGATATTGCAAAGCTCCTTTGTGATGCAGCTGGGTACCAAACTGGGATGGGGAACACAAACAAGTGCCCAGGAAGTTTAACTAGCTAACTGAATCCATGGTTTCTCAATTAGATCTGATTTCTTGAGCCTGTTCTGACTTTCCATTTGGTTGATGGGCTTGGATACAACTCTTTTTCCACCCTGCACTGCTCCTTGGCTGCTAACTCCTGTTCGCTTTTTTTACAGTTCCCAGGAGAGAGAAAATCAAATTGGAGGAAATATTGCTCACCAGTTTCAGAAATCCCATAGGCTTCTAAACATTTGTCCTTTACTACTTTTTAGCTTGTCTTGTTGGTCACTCCCCATGTTAAGGGAGATGATGATCGGTCTCTTCATAATTGGGTGTAACTTTCCAGCTTTTCTCTACTACTAATGTCTTGGATCTGTCCAGAAGTAGCACATGTTAAAACCTAAAGTGAAAAAAGGGAAGGGGGCTATAGTTACCTCTACCTGATGGGTAGGAGCCAAAAGCAGACACACGGGCAGCAGGAGAGCCATGAGAAGGGAAACTATGTTTGGTCTGGTTTTTGTTCTGGCAAAAGTCTCTTGCACACAGGGGAAATAGAGAGGCTGCATGCCAGCGAAGGGTCTTTGGTATATGCTCTCCGCCAAACCCTTCGGCCCCTCCATCCAGTAAGATATTTGTCACAGGTTTATCTTTAGGCATGTGAGTCCCCTTTGACTGGGAAGTCATCGACTTGAAAATGTATTTAACGTCACGCTGAAGGGAGATAACCAGTGGGCACGTCGCAGGCTGATGCACCAGAGAATCTCGCTTCTTGCCCTTTTCTCCACGGCTGACGCTCCCCACTTCGGCAGTCGTCGCTTCCTGCAGGCTCTGCGTTTCGTGGTGGCTTCTGCACCGGCTCTTCTCCAGGGTAAAGGAGTAAGGCATGACATTTGTACCTCTCGTGTTTGGCCCCGGGCCGTGGGGCAGCACAGGGGACGGGACCCACGCTGGGCAGCGCTAGGACCTGGGGGAATGCTCAGCCTGCCTCCTCCCAGAAGATTAGCCAATATTCCCAGGGCAGGGCACGCTCCCCAGCCTTTCTACTTTTTCTTTCCTCTATATACGTGTTTTTCCTTCTTCTAGTTCATTCCAGAGCAGAGCAGCTTTGGATTTCTCTGAGCTTTTTTTCTTTTTCTTTTTTTTTTTTCCCCCCTCCTAGCTGGACTGCTGCCAGAGTCTTGCAGGGCCAAAGTTTTATCTATAGGGATATATTTTTCAAACGAGCCCAGCTGCATGCAGACTGCCTGCAATTGAATCCACACTCCTGGGGCAAGTTTAACTCGGGAGAGGAACAGCAGCAGGGGTGCTGTTTGTGCCTCTCCTCCAGCTATTCCTGTCAAGATGGATTTATGACTTTAAAAGGAAGAAGGGGGGGGAGGAAAATTGCCTACAGGAGCCAGAGCTTACAACACAGCCCAGCAAAACACACATAAAGAAGCAGTCGGATCTCAAGGCATGAGCAGCATAGAAGTGATACCCTGGGATCTGGTGGATCCTTGCATGTAATATGACTGATCTTAAGCCTTTCATCTGCCTTCACAGAGCCGAGCTTTTGGATCTAAGGTAGTTTGCCCAGGACCAGACTTTGCTATGTTGGCCAAGGCAGTGCTTTCTCTTGGTCTCTGGCTGCAGTTTGCTGCGGGACAGAACACACCTGAGAGAGGTGAGTACCTGAAAAGGCAAGGCGTTCCGTTACTACTTTCCCCCATTTAATACCTCCTGGTCCTTAGAGCTTCTCATAAAATCTTTTCAGAATAAAAGCTGAAGTTACATTGCTGCTGTAGCTGTATAGTTATGCTTGTATGTTACTTTGCTGGCATAAGAACAAAACAAAACAAAAAAACCTTTCTAAAATTGCCGTATTAGAAAGAAATTTTATCTTGTTTCCAGTATTGGAAAGGAAACCATTTCAGAAACTTGCAGAGTTTAGTGCAATCGTATGGAAAAAGTCCCGACTCCTCACTGTTACCTATGTACTGAGGCACATCAATTAAGAGAAGTAAAACCAGTGTTTGATACTATACCTGTCTTGCTGGTCTCTTGCTAATCTCTGTAATTCAATCGTTTTATTTCCTCTTTAAAATGCTTTCTCTTGGATACTGTTCAGGGAAAATGATTATGGGTCTGTCTCGCAGAACTGACAGCAGGGAAAGGGACACAGAGGACATGAATGTCTCATTTCTGGTTCCTGCACTGTAGTGCTGGGCAGAAGACTTAGCCCACATCGTGATGACTATGCTGATGCAACTGCTTTTGTTCTGCCTTGGGCTCACAAGTAGAAAAAGGTTCTGTTCTTTGACTGCAGGGCTACTGCTGGCTGCATCTGGTTTTCACTGCACCTGGGAAACGTAATCCAGCGTGAAAGGAGAAGTGAACCTCTTGTCTATCTGGACAGGAGGTCCTCAGACTCAGACAGCAGCCCAGACCACTGGGTTCTGATTCTGCTTCTGGTACGCAGAGCAGACTGGGTCTGTTGCTCAGATCCCCTTACAGGATACTGGATTGTGTCCCTCAGTGACACAGGCTGGTTCAGGAATGGTACTGCTGCCTCTGGCGTTGTCACAACGCTCCATGTCCACACAGGCAGCAGTTATTCCTATTGTCATGCATTTCTGCTGCCATGGGAGTCTATGTGGCAGTTCCCCAGCCCAGGCTAAAAACAATGCTCAGACCCTTCAGAGTATGTGAAAAAGCAAGGCATGGCTTTTCAGAAGGATTACACCTTGCTCCGGAGGCAAAGCTGTGTGCGTCGTGTTATTGACGTGCTGACTTTGGCTTGCACGCTGCACCCTTAGAGGAAATGAACCTGCTGGTCGGCAAGGTGCCCGTTCCCCAGCAGCTTTGATGTGGGGGTCTCCTAGGCTTCTCCCGGGTGCTCCCTAAAGCAACCTTGAGCAAACAGCCAGTCTGGCAGGGCTCCTGGGCATGGGCTGGAGGTGCTATGGTGGTTTGCCATGATCACACAATGAGAGGAACTGTTTGAAAAGTAGGGATTCATGTTCATAACTCTGTTTCCTAGACACTTGACTGAATGTGAGTGATTGTAGCTTTATTCTCAGCTGCAGTGGACAAGGTGAGGAAGCTACTGGGTGGCCAGTGGTGCTTCTACAGGCTCAGGAATGATTAGCTTTTTCAGAACAATCACTATGGACTTAGTTCACCGAGGCACAAAGTCAAGGCAGAGCACCGCATGACCGGTTCCACCACTTTCTTCTTTGGGTCCAGATTCAGATCTCTGTTGCATCAGTGTAAAGTACAACCATTTGATAGTTTGGGCTTTGATAAATGAAACTTGGGTTGTCATTACCTGAGTACTCTGGACTAGCATCAGCAGCAAATGATGGGGATATTGCTGTCCCTGTGGGTGCAGCAAGTGAAAAATAAAGACATGGCCCATCCGTACGGACTTTGTAGAGAGCTCTGCACTTCCTGATCTCTGAAGCACAGCTCAGTACCTGGCATAATTCCATGATTCCAAGACTCTTGAGGCTCTAAATAAAACAGCAGAGATAATGAAACTCCTGAAAAGATCATGAGAGATGGCAACCCAGCTTCCTTGTGCCAGAGGAATTTGTCTGAAGGGCCCATTCTCAGCCTACAGCCTGTAATCTGTGGCATGGACGAGCTGGAACCTGCATAGGCAATTTGGGCTTTGTCACACAAGTATATTTTGCTTGGTGGGGCTCAGCTCTTTAAATAGGCAGGTGATCTAGGCGTCTCCCATGGCACAGGCCTCTCTCTGACACGGTTTTAAGTGTAAAACACCACCTGACTGGCGTGGTGGGATACCTCTCTCTTTCTGGGAGAGGCAGTGCCTTTCTCCTCCTGCCTCTCACTGTGATCCCAGGGGGCCACAGGGAAGCACAGGCTGTGTTCTTCAGCCTCCAAACCTGGCTCCACTCATAGAATTTTTTACCTTGCATGGCCAAACAATGAGAAGGGAAGACAAACATGGAATTTCAAATGTAGTCAACCAGATCAGGACATGATCTTTTTTGGCTGTTAGATCCTTTATGCTCTACAAGTTCCAAGTCCCATATAAATCAGGCATGTGGTATGTGTTCAGGTCCCCCCTGAGAGTGCAGGGAACTCATGAAGCGGATGTCTTCTGTCAGCAGCTCAGTGAAAGACAGGGAAGTCTGACCAGCTGGTTTTCTCCGGGAAAAGCCAAGTGTTTATATAGGCAGCACTGTGACTCCGTGGTGACATTTTGCTCCCATATCGATCCCTTCAAAACACTTCTTTGCATGACTGATCTGTGTCTACTGACCACGTATCAGCTAGAAGGTGATAACGGGATACTGCCATGTGTTCTCTGTTGTTCCCTAGACTTAAGTAGAGCACAGGAGCAGCAATGATACGAGATCTGCAGAGTTATTCCTCAGCTCTTCAGAAGCAAAGGCCTGACATTTCAGGAGACAGGGAAGTGCTAATGGATGCCCCTTCTCTCAGAAGGCCACTGAAAGTGAGAAATCTGCATCTGGCATCTTGCCAAACAGCCGATCTTCTTCTGCTATAAAGCAAGGAAACTGCTTGAAAGCAGCAGCCGCTTGTGTAACACAGGGATTTTCTGGTAACAAATATCCACAGCCCCACCTCTGGCATGGATGGCATGTTTACATTGGATGAAGGACAAAGAACAGGAAGAAAGATGGGGGAATTGAAAACCTAAACCTCAAGGGAAGGTTGATGGAGTGTCCAGTCACATTATAAATGCTGCCACACTCCTGATGTAGTGAGATCCATAAAAAAAAAAAATCTAGACAAAGGATCCTTTCTGCTGACAAAATCTAAACGGGAGGAATTTGTTTCCATCTTATGCAGGGCCGAGTGTTAGAGGTAACTGTTATGGTATTTGCCTGCATGAAGAATTAGCCTTCTGCTCCACCCACAGACAATCCATTTAGCTCCAAAATATATACCTGCCCATCAGTGTAACTGTTGCTTTTGTTAACCAGTTGTTAACCAGTTGTTAACCAATTGCTGTTACCCAATGCTTTCTACCCTCCAGGCAGAACGTTGTGGTGTCAAGCTGTAGCTCTTCCTGCAGAGCCTCCTAACTAACACAGCTATTTCCAGCAACGTATGGTGGAAACCAGTGTTTCAAACCAGTGTTTGAAAGATATTAACATCGTGCCCAGCTGTCTTGGTGCCCCAGAACTGCAGGGTACAGTCAAGACTGCAATTTGACAGGGGCAGGGCTCTTGACTCTCCTTTGATGTTCTCTTTTGAGCTGGTGTTCCATGCTGGTTTTCACCCGTGTGCTACCCCATGCAGGTAGTTCTGACAGTAGTGGGATTTTGCTTGCATCTGCTCCCTCATGATGAATTCTGAATTCTCTTCCCAGAGTGCTAGTGCATGTGACCTTGTTTCCCACTTGTGGGCAATGTCCTTTGGCCATTGATCCCTGCCCTGCCAGGGTCAGAAGCTTTCATAGCTGTTTGTTGCAACACTTAGGAAACCAGTGATGTTCCTCATACAGGAGCAGAGGGCAGAAACAGTTATTTCCTCCTGGGAGGTGGCAGGCCTGTTGCCACAATCTCTCGCTATGGCTTGCCAGCCAAGTAAGTGGCTTGTACTTCTTCCAGTGGAGAGGAAAGCACAAAGCCATGGCTATTTGCATTTGACTTGCTTCATGCAGCCAGAAGCTCTAAACAAAGCCATTGTTGCTCTGCCCTGCTGGAATGCTGTTAGGACGTAGGGAGCTCTAGGAACCAGTGGCAGGGACCTGTAGGTCACAGGTTCAGCTCTACTGTGCGATGTGGTGATGAAGTTGCGTGTTGCTAGGGGCAAGCAGGAAAGCTTACTGGACTTCACTTTTATTTTCTGCTCAGCTCTGAATGCCAAGTTGCTGGGTGTGTGTGTCTGCACCACAGGGCTGAGTTGTGCTGGGTCATGCACAACTGGCTGTAATCCATGTAGATTGCAGGTCCCACTCCTGCCTCCTCCTAGCATCTCTTGCTTAGTCACATCCAAGTAACTTTAATGTTCTCCATTTCTGAAGGCTCCATCTGATTTCTCCTGTTGTTTCAGGAGATCTGGTATGCCTCTGCTACCTCAGCCAGCACCTACTACAGCAGAGTGGTTCCTGTGCTGCCTCAGTCTCTGGAGCAGCACAGTGCCTTGCTGTCAGCATGTTTATTCACATGTTTACAGACCATGCGTGCAAGCACTCTGGCTTTCTTCCAGTGCACACCTATACTATAACACATGCAATAAGTGTAGTCCTGACTCACATATGTCACTTCTGTCCCCCATCCTGTATGCATTCCCAGCACAGCTGGCCCTTTCTCCACTGTACCTCCCCCTGACACTCCTGAGCATACAGACATGAATGCTTTTGCCATGGGACAGACTCAGTTGCACAGGCAGGGATCTGAATGGTACCCAGTGAGGGAAATAAATAGCAGGGTAAAGACTGTCCAAATGAAGACTGGGCAAAGATGATCAGCTCCCCTGTGGCTCAAGCCTGAACCACTTCTCCACCTTCTGTTTTCCCCCTTGAGCCCCTTGTGTTGTACCCTGAATGGGTGTGCTCTTGCTGGTTCGTGATCTTTTCTGTGCTCAGGTTATTAGGTTTCACTGGCAGGACGTGTAATAGACACTTTGTACCTACTCTCTGTTCTCCTGCCCTAGTCCTTTCCCTCCTCTTGATTTTGCCATCTCCTATCTGCCTCTTGGAGCAGTGCCCCAGTGGGGGCTTACCAACCCCCTGCTCATCTCTGCCAGGCTCATTGCTATCTCTGGGCCTGCCTTGACATGGCTTTCTGCAGGGGGAGAACTGTTTGCATGAGTTGTCTCCTTGGAGCAATTAATTTTACAGGAGCCTTTCCATTCAGCTGTCTACTGCCTTGTGGTTTTGGCTCCCACACGTGGCTCCAGCACTCAACCACTGTGTGCTGCACCAAGTTCATCTGTGCTCCAGAGCCCACATTATTTGGCCACCCCACATTCCTGATCCCTTCACTGATAGAGAAGCCCAAACGTGCAGGCAGGAATCTCTGGTCTGAGGCTTTTTCTCCCTTCTTGCACCTCAAAAGCTGTCAAAAAGCAGGGGGGTGGTTAAAAGAAGTCCAAATTCATTATTGATATTCCAGCTATTGTAAATCTTCCAAGCTCTAAGAGTGGTAGAAGGAGTCCACTATGTGTTTGTGCTTCCCACAGAGGAGTTTAATTGAAATCGTAAGAAAATGAGTCAAATGGAGTGGGACTCCAGGCCACACCCTCAGAAGCATGTTCTTCCTGACATATTACATTCTTCTGCACAAATGTGTCTGTGCAGCCCGTTCCCAGACATCCTGTCCCAGAGCCCCTTTGAGGTGCTGTTCCTAAGACTATCTGGGAAAGGAGGTCAATATGTATTCAGAAGAGCACAAAAACATAGTATTAGCCTAGCTTTTAAAAAGTGATCTAGGGAGGAGTCCCTCCACTCCATACTTACCTGCCAACAGTGGTATAAATCAAGGAGCTTTCTGCCAGTCTTGTGCGGACCGTAGCCTTTGAACAGAGAGGCAGCCAGTTCTGAGAATCAGCCTGCTCTCTTGGGAGAGCAGAGCGAGCAGTTTTTCTCATCAAGTTTCTTTATCATTTCATTCTTTTCCAAATACAGCTCATTTTTCTTCCAGGCACTGCCATTGTCATAAGATGGGATAAACCTGGAAGTTGTTTTAGGCCCAAAAGTTGCTCCTGACCTTGGGCAGTTTCTCTCAGTCTTGCGATCAGCAGTTTGCTTCTTTCTCTGGGACTGCTGTGCGTCAGCCCAGGGCAGCAGCTCTGGGTGGCAGAGGCTACTCCCTGGCACGGGGCATGACTGACCTGCTGGCTCAGGCTGGTGAGGAATGTTCCCAGCTTCTGGAACACATCCACCTCCAGCCTGGAGCAGAAAGTACTCAAGATCAGCCTGGTGTTGTGTAATAAGAGGTGTCAGTGCAAGGTGATGTAGCTCAGAGGCATTTTTTCTGCAGCAGTGAGGGCAGGATCCAGGACTTGCGGTTTGTACTTTTAGCTCTACCCTGATTCCTGTGCCTGAGCTGCTGCCTTGTTCCACTGCCCTGGCCTTTCTGTTTATCTGTAATGGGTTAATAACATGTGCCTGGAAAGACTGCCATGAGGTTTCCTAAGTCTGTGCAGTGCTTGCAGATCCTGCCTGAGTGTAGTGTGCAAGTGCTAGGTGTGCTCAGGAGCTAGAGCTCCTATTGCTCCTGCAGTGTCAGGTCCAGGGCATCTCTTCTACCTCACCTGTGTTGGCTCCCTGCTCTGTTCCAGCCCCCTGTCCTTGTGCAGGACCTAAGAATGAGGAGGTGAGATTAAAGTCCTGGGAAATTACTTCCCTTCACTGCTGCAATGCTGTTTTCTGCTCCCACCTGTTATGCATCTTGACTGAATTTGGACCAGAGGAGTATCAGGCATTCATCCTGCCCTCATTTCTTGAGGAGCTGTTTTTTCTCAGGAGTCAGACACTAGGCTGAATTCAGGCATATTTCATCCCAGTTTTTCAGTCTTTTGGCCTGCCTCTCCTCTCCCATGACTGGCCTTTTTCCTCTGAGAGACACGGGCTCTTGTTCTGGCCATCCAAGTAACTCCTTGAATAGTAGGGATCATGCGTGTGAATGGAAAGGAGGAAAAAAAGTAAGTATTGCTCTTCCTCACTGTCTTTATCTTTGCAAATGTGTAAAACATGACTTTAAAACAAACCTGGCAACAAAGCCTGGAGACCAGGCAGCCAGTGCAGGCAGGAGAAGCTCCTCTCCCTGCTCCTGGAGAGCTCACCACAGCAGCTAGATGAGATGCATCTTCAGCCTTACCTCTGTCGAACGGTGATTGATCTAGGTGAGGTGCAGAACGTGTAAAAGAAGCGAGCTCCAAAAGGCCAGACTTGTCTGTAGCATTGGCCTTTGCCAAGAGCCAGAGGGCAAGCTGCACACAGCAGGTCTGAGATGTGCTGACTCTACTGTGAGTCTCTGTTGTCTGTCTCAGCCGACCGAAGTATGCAGGGTATGGCAGCTGCAATATTTATGTGCTTGGATATTGTGCCACTGTTCGCAGTGATGGACCAAGCACACCACCAGGGCTCAGGGCTGCTGCTGCTGCTGTATCGCTGAGATCCTCCAACAGTTTCTTTGCATGTGTCTTACCTTCTTGGCCAGTGTAAAACCCTGTGGGGTAAGTAAGTCCTGTGTTTGAAGTGTGCTGCTGAGAGGGTCCCGTGGCCAGGCAGATCAGTACTAGGCTGCTGCCCCGCAGTGCCTCCAAGAGCTCCTTCCAGTGCAACTGCAGTGCTTTGGCTTCTTTCCTTGCAGTGACCTTCTTGGGCAGGGCCTAGATCAAGCTGAGCAGCTGTGACGTCCCAAAGTGAGACTGAACGCAAAGAAAGCAGTGGGAGACAAATAGTCCAACACGGGTCACAATCCTGCTATTCAGTGGGGTGGTATCATGAATTTTTTTCCTCTTGCTCTTTGTGATCCTGTAACCAATTCAGGTTCTTGGACCTCGGAGTACCTAGGAAACAGTTGAAAACAGAAACAGCTTTTTTGGCAAAGTACTTTAAAACAAAAGGTGCTAAGAGAACTTAGTTTGTGAACAATCATAGGCAGACCTCTGGCTAACACTTCAGTGTTAGCATCTTAAAGTGTTCGCAGAGAACAGTTGTGATCAAAGAGATGAGTCTAAGCAAAGCTAGATGGGGTGCTAGGGAGATGGGGTGAGAAGTTCCTGGACAGTTGACAGCGGGACTGAGAATAAAGCCCAGGAGCCGTCACGCTAGATGCAAATAATAATAAAAAGGGGCAAAACCTGAGGTCTCTACCCAGCAAAATTCTCACTGAATTCTGAGATTTGGCAGAAGATAACCAGGCTTTCCTAGCAGATGCCTGTGCAGGTATGGGTTCACATCATTCCACTAACCCACCTCCCTCTCTCTTCCCCTGCTAGGTCCCCAGCCGTCTACTTCCAATTCAGAGGGGGACCTCCTCTTCTTGCTGGACAGCTCTGGCAGCGTCTCCTACTATGAGTTTTCCAGGGTCAAGGAATTCATGTGGGACCTTGTGCAACCTTTCACCTTTGGCCCCAGAGATGTCCAGACCAGCATCATCCACATCAGCACTACGCCCACCATGGAGTTCCCTTTTGACCGGTACCTGTCCAGTGGGACTCTGCAACAAGCCATCCGGGACACTCAACAGCTCATGGGTGACACTAACACAGGCAAAGCACTCTCTTATGCCAAGGAGAAGTTCTTCAGTGATGAAGCTGGTGCCCGGCCAGATGTGCCCAAGGTACTGGTTTGGGTGACAGATGGTTTCTCCACTGATGACATCTCTGAACCCATGCAGCTCCTGAAGGACATGGGAGTAACAGTCTTCATTGTCAGCACTGGACGGGGAAGTTACCTGGAACTCTCTGCTGCTGCCAGCCAGCCTCCTGAGAAACACCTGTACTTTGTGGATGTTGATGACCTACCCATCATCACAAAGGAGCTTCGAGATGCTATCCTAGGTACGGTGGGGTTGGGTTGTGGTCACTGGGAGTTTGTAACAGGGCTGAATATGAGTTAATGCCTGGCTCTGCCATGTAGGCAGTGTGAGAATCCCCTAAAACCAATGGTCCTCCTGACACACAGCTGCAGCCCTTGCAAACTGAGGTGCTTTGTTCACAATGCTATAGGACCAAGTATAAACCAAGGCTTTTAGGAGGTCTGGGACAAATATCTGTCTGGGACAAGTATCTCTCTTCCCCTTGGAAGGTCCCATGACTGACTGGGACAAATTCCCTTCTGCAGATCTATTAAAGAGATAAACTTGTGTTTGTTATGAGTTGTTCAGTTGTTAATGAAGGAAAGAGGCTCAGGCAGCATATTATCAGGATTCCTTAAAAACCCACAAGACTTTGAAATGAATCATGCAGGTCACAGACATCTGTACAATTCAAGTGTAGGATGAAAATGCCCCCACCTGCACAGGTTAATTGTTAACCAAAGGCTTCCCAAACAAGCAATGATTTAACTACAGTAGGAGGCTGCTGACTGTGGGAGCAAGGTGCCTAAGCCCCTTGAACTCGATTTTCACATTCAGGGTGAATTTTTTTCTCTAAAATGCTGTTTGGCTATGTACCATCTGATGGAGGTGGAGGACACAAATGTGTTGAACACATTACATACACAGAATGGGATGTGTATGCCTGGGAAGGATTTGGTCCTGTCAGCTCCCTCAAACTCTTGTCTACGGTAGATTTGACTTCCTATAGATACCATCATGTGCAAGCACAGTGGCTGGAACACACTGACTCCTGCCTACAAGTGGCTGACAGTTGTTCTTTTACAAAGAGCAATTAAAGATGGTGCTTGCTATCAACATTAAGACTGTAGGAGAGGAATGTTTTTGTTCCATAATTCCCCTGTTGTAACGTGTTCCACGTCTGCCAGATCTATAGCCTGACTTGGCTAGCACAGCCCTTGGAAGAAAATCCCAGCCCTAACTTGTTAGGTTTAGCAGGCCAACTGCTACCTCTTTGTTGCTAGCATGGTTGTGGTGGTTGCTGTGCAGAGAGCAGGAACAAACAGCAGATTTTATTTTTCAGCAGTCCTGTTTTCTAAAGCATCCAGGAAAGGGTCTGAGGAGACCCAAAGCCGTAATCTGGGCCAGAAGACAGGAATTTGGAAGCCAAGAGGAATATCTCATGCTAACCTTCATGTTGCACTGCACAATGCATGTTCTTTTTGCAGCTTTTGAATGCCATCATGGTGGGAGTGCCTGTGATTGCAAAGCAGGGGTTTGCCTCAGCCTCCTCTCTGGATTTGCTTGGAAAACTGAGTTAGTATGACTTTGCAGACTTTCCATTCATTTTCTGGAGGTTCTCTCTCCATTGCAAATCCTGTTTTAATTCCTCATTTGGCTTCTGCTATGTGAGTTGGTTAGAGCTGGCTTTGGAGCATCCAAGTAACCCTTTCCTCAGAATCCTCTATGTATAGCAATTTCTTTCTAGTTCCAACCATGATCATTTAACAAATCACACACAGGGACCATGTTCTCCTCCAATCATCCACTTCTCTCCTGTATGAGTATGGGGCAGTACCAGCAGTCCTTCTACTGTACCAGATGCCACACAGACCCCCAGATGTTTCATTTCAAGTGGCTGTTTCAGCTTCTAGTGCATCCTGAATCGAGATGGCATAAAATAGCATCCCAAAATGAGAAATCACCTGCATATCCTTGCAGCACAAGACTGTCTTGAAGATTGCAAGATCTGCAAAGGTAATAAATACTCTGCTGCGCTTGAGGGCAGTATTCTATGCATCCACTGGGTCTAAAAGTTACTAGTCTGGGATTTTAATGGAAGGTGAGATTCTCGCATGAATCCAGGAGCTGATGCTTTAAGCAAAATACCAGACGTTGGTAATATCACCCAAGTTAGCCTTAATAAAGCCACATATGTCCACTCTTCCCTGCCTGGAGGAGGCAGCCCTCATCACCACCCTTCCTGCTTCTGGCCCCTGGGATAGCAGGGACAGACAGGATCCTTGGCAAGCAGAAATTAGGCCTTTCCAACTCTGGAATGGCCCACACTGGTTTTATTATCACTGCTATCTTATGTTCATCTCTTGCTACTGGTTTGTTGTTTGGTTTTTTTTAAAGCCTTTTGTAGATGCACAAACAAGCTTTGCCAAGAGTTGCTCTCCTCCCTCCACCTCCTATCCAGGGATGGGGTGTTTCATGCCTGTTCCACAGGTACTCCAACACAATGGTCTCTGGCTACCAAGTTGCTATTGTCTCAGGTAGGCTGAGAACCCTCCATAGAACAGCTCAGTCTCCACAGCTGTACCTCACTAAACAAAGGTAGGCATCTTTATGTAGGGGTTGCTCAGTTAAGAAGCATTTTCTTTGCCTTCAGAAATTTGATCAGAGATCTGAGCAGACAAATAATATAACAAATTGTTAGGGCTGAGTCTGGAGTTCACAGCAAGGGTCTTCAGTCCTAGACAGCAAGACAGCAGCTACTTGGACAGGGAGACAAAAGGAAGGTGCCTTACTCTTCCAAACTGTATTTCTGTCCTGCTACAGGCTCTGCTGAGGCCAAGGGATGTGATGTCTCTGCCTCAGTTCCCTTTTTGAAAAACCTGGCTGTGTCAGAGAAGATGGACTGCTTCTTAGACATGGTGGACCTGAAATAGTTCCAGTAACACTACTATGCAGATGGGTGCAAGACAGGGACTGTGGATGGATGTGTATGTTCAGTCTCCCTCCTTTTCCTTGGCACATGGTCCCGACACAACAAGTCTGCAGAATGCAGCAGGCTACAGTTCCCAGCCAGCCTGGCTATGGCCACAGCTGGTTCCTGGCAAATACCTCTGCCTTTCCAACTGTGAAGGAAAGGGGACACTAGCTCAGGCTTCTTCCATTGCATCTTATGTATTATGTACCCAATATATGGCATTTGGTGGTGTCCTTCTGGGAAAGGACCTTCAAATATTGTGAAACCAAGGCATTCCTTTGAGATGACATCAGGTTCTGTGCTAGCATCCACTTGCTCTCCACTCAGCCAGTTGTGCTGACAACTGCTGACTTGTTTCATCCTTTGGCACCATCTTCTGAGCCAAGTTCTACAGGAGCCCACCTGCCCAGCAGTCGCAAAACATCAGCCACTTCCCATGTGTATTCAGAGCAACACATTTCTGATCCGAAAGAAAGTTCTGGATAACTTCTGCTGCGGTGAAGGCTTTGAGCCTAGAGTCCTCTGACATTCTCTCTTAGCACTGAATATAAGCAGGCAACCAGAGGGAGTGATCTCAGACTTTAAATGTCCACCCTGGTAATGGAGAAGTGTGTTCCCTCCTCCCAGTATTGGAACCCTACCCCCATACATATCATAGTAGGGAAATAGAGCCATGAAGCAGAAGTGATTTGTCCCAAGTCCTAGCTGAAGCTTCTGCAGAGAGGGGATCATGCACCCAGGACTAGAACAGGTTCATCTGCTGCCTGGCTGCATTTCTTACGCACATCATGAAAGGAGCAGCATTTCTGCAAGTCTAATCTTGACCTTGCCAGCATTCATGGGATGCCAGCAAGCTTGTGGCTGCAAAATGGTGTTTCAAGTCACCAAGAGGTAGGAGGTGGAAGGCACGTGTGTCACAAGTCGTCTCTGAGTGTTGCTAGGAAGGCACTGCCTGGGTCTAATGCAAGAGATTAACTTGCTGCTTCTCTCTGGGAACAAGGAGCTGCTGTGAAGCATACCATGGGCATCTATTTTCTGGGGCTTATTGCCCTCTTTATACACTCAAGGCACCTCTAATCTGGCAACAATGGGCAGAGCTATTTGCTGTGGGCTTCCTGTAACATGTCTCTCAGGTGTTGCACCCTGTCACTTTAATCTGCCCAATCTATTCGCAGTGTCCCTGAGCCCTGCCTCCGAGCTCACTTATTTCCATTCCCCGAGCTTTTGGCAGGACTTTTGGCGCTGAGGCCTTTCCTCTGTTCACTGTTCCTTTGTGGCTTGGCCACTGGTAGTTGCAGGGCTCACAGAAGGGTGCAGTGCTCCAGGTCCCATGGTGCTGCTTCCCACCCGCTGCCTCCTCCAAGCTCCAGCCGGGTGGAGTGCTGCTGGCTGGCAGCGTGCGTGGACAGGAGCGGGCAGGGCATGGAGAAGGGGAATGTTCCTGCCTGTCTGGGAGAGCCAAGGAACAGCTCAGAGGAAAAACTGAGGCTGCTTTATTGGTACGGGGAAGTTGGCAGGGGCTCGGAGGAGGAGAGCTGATCTTTTCTCAGTTAAAGGACAAGTTTGAGAATGCAAGGCTATCCCCTATTCTCTTGCAGGTCTGGGCAGACTTCCGTGCCTCCCTTTACCTCTGTGTAATGAGCAGCCAGGGAGCGCTACTTACAGTACTCTGTGAAGTATTTAAGCTTGAGCTGGAGGGTACTATCGTAAGGTTTCAGGAGTGACACTGTGCAGAGCGAATGCAGTTCTCTAAAGCTCAGGGTGCTTTAAAAAAAAAAAAAAGCATCTTTATCTCTTTTTATGCCACTTCCCTGGAGCTAGAAACAAAGTCCTGTGTGTTTCTGCCCCTCTGGAAGACCAGAGAACAGCGGAATTCTGCCCAAGATGGGCTCAGGAGGCTATGGGTGTCGGAAGGGTCAAGTAGCAGAGGAAGCTGGGGGAACTGCAGAGTGTCAGAAGAGGTATTCGTGTCTGGCATTTGGGGTCTAGAACTCAAAGGTAGTATGAGCCTTGAAGAGAAGTCTCTGTGCAGGGGGAGAGAGAGGCAAGATAGCACAAGAGTGGCTCTGAATGTTGAATGTCACAAAACAATGGAGCTCTGTGAAACACTGCAGGGAGTGACTTCAGCTGGGATGAATGCAGCTGGCTCAGCAAATGCTGGACAATCCCCAGTTGCTGCCCCTTCTTCCTGGCCACTGGGTACAGGCAGAGAGCAGGGAGAAATATATATCTTCACACTCTGGGCTGCTTCGCATACATGACAAATTCTAGTGGTTTGGTTTCACTAGTAGGTGATTTCCACAGGGAGCTTTGGATGAACTGACTGCAGGAGTTTCGGAACCTGGATGCCCAAATTCTGTCTCCAGCTTTGTCACAGACAGTGCCAGTGCTGCTTGCCATATTGGGTACGTGGTAACGTCTTGCTGAGTGGGGGAAGCTGCCTGTTTGGCCAGGCACAGTAACTCCCGCACATCTCTTGAGCAGCAGCAGCTGCCCAGAACTTGCTAGATCACTCCAGATTTGTTCTTGGTGGTGCAAGACAGGCTTGGATGGGGAGAGGCACGGTTCCTGCTGTGCCAGGCCTCTCTGTCACAGCAGATCACCAGCACAAAAGGACTAGGAAGAGAGAATGGAGAGGGAAAGCTGGGGCTTTACAGAGCAACTTGGAGGCTTGTGGCAAACTGGTTTGAGGCTGGAGATGCCTAGGAGGCAAGGTGCAATAGCATTCTTGAGCTGAAACCTGTTGTGCAGACACACCTAAGCAATTCCTTTAGCCCAAATGCTACTCATGGCCATTGGGATATATGCATTTCCTTTGCAAGCTCTGTTCAGTGAAAGGATCTTGTCTGAGAGGTGGGAGTGGTGCGAAAATCCAAATATTGCTGCCTCAGTTGACGCACTTTTTACATTTTTTTTTAGCTTTATGCTTGGCTTCAAGGATTTAGTTTTGTGCTCCTGAACCTTTCAAAGAGGGTCTGGTTCACTAAATTGCTACGAAGGGGCTTGGCTACACCTAGGTGACTTCAGCTGTCATCCAGTTTTGCTGTAGGCTACATCTCCCATCCAGAAGGGCCTGTATTTTAGATGTGCCATGTTCTCTGTATTAATGTCAGTAGTGATTTCTTGCTCCTGTTTCTCTTCCAGATGTTATCCAAGCAAATCGGCTCCATGCAGTAGATATCACCTCAAGCAGCTTCCGCCTGATGTGGCCCAAACTCCTCTCCCAAGAAACTGGCTACTACACCCTGGAGTATGCCCCAATAGATGATCTAGCAAGGAAGAGGACAAAGCAAGTGTCTGGGGCTCACACTAGCCTCATGCTAAGCAACCTTGCACCAGAAACTACTTATGAGGTGGCACTCATTCCTGAATCCAACGTCCACTACTTCCCTCCCCAGACAACAAGGGTTACTACACTAGCAGGTAAAATGTGCACAACCGTGACGAAAGGGGAAGTCTCCACTGTACTGAGCCTCACATATATAAAGCAAACAGGACAGTCTTTGGTCTGCATCCCACAGCCTCATGGTCTGATTGGAAAAGGCAGATGGTTGTGGTTAGGACAGAACATAATGAGCTGCTTTATGCTGGCACTCAGCTGGCAGTTCTTTCCTTAGAGAGATGTTCTGGACTGCCCAGAACAGGGGATCAGTTCTGATGGTCGTAAGATGCCCTTCCAACCTTAAAAATCTATCAGTCTGGAGGAAAGCAGAGCCCACTGCCCTGGGAAAAGGCAGCGGGAGCTGCAGCTTGCAAATATTTAACAGGGCTGAGGCGTAGACCCCACTGGGGATAAAGCACAGGCTGCTGCACATAACTTACTATCCCAGTACGATAGTCTGGCAGAAGCAGTGCTGCCTTGTGTGGGTTACTGCCAAAGGGGAATTTTGACCTTCATAGCTTGAGCCGTTCCTATGGGAACAAGGAGATCCCTGTCTCCTACCTGAGGCTGCAGGTGCAGCTAGGGGAGAGTAATGCTCTTGAAGCAGGTGATTCTGCTTCTCTGGGCAGGTGTATCCACTGATGGGGAATCCCTGTTTAAGAGAGAAGGAGAGGAAGACCACTCAGAGCAGAAGCCATCTTCTCTGTACAGACTAGTCATTTGGGTCAGAAGAATAACTCAGATTTCTGCTGGAGAGCAACATGCAAAAAAGTGACACACTGAAAATCTGAAGAGGGGTGACAAAGTCAAGATGAACTTGCATCCAATATTAATTTTCTGCATGCAAGAACAGTTTTGGCTGAGTAGTTTTGCCTGCTCTATGCTGCACAGGTAGAGAAACTGTTTTCTTAGGGCTGAGCTGGGTTGTGCTGACTTGGATGACTATCAACATCCACTTGCTGGATGGATTTTCTTCCACCTCCTGGAAGCCAAATATGGGGCAGGTCGATTATGCTCCTCTGACAGCATTCTTATGCCTTGAATTACATACTCATTCACATCTTTTTACATTGCTTTCAGAGGAAAAAAGCCCAGCTCAGGTTCTCATCTCGGAGTCTGGGCCATACAGCTTCCATGTTAGTTGGGCTCCCACACTGGACAGTGTGGTCAGCTATCAGATCCTGTATGGACCACTCCCTGGGAACTCAGTGAAGCTGCTGGAGGTGGATGGCGAGCACAATAGCACTGTGGTGGAGAATCTGGCACCCAATACAACCTATCTAGTGACAGTGACTGCAGTCTACAAATCGGGAAAGGAGAAATCCCTGTCAGCTAAAGCATGCACTCAGGAAGGTGAGTGAGCGGCACTCTGCTGATAGGAAACTATATGGGCTCTGAAGTGTGCCTGTTTCTTTGCACAGATCATCTGCCTCTAGGTGAAGCCAGAGAATTCTTTCAGCCCAGTTACTGGGGAGGGATGAGAAGGGGAAAGCTGCAGCTTCTGATGAACAGCACATGATATGCCATTAGGATGTAGCAGATGTATAAGGCACAGGACTGAAAGAAAATCAGACACGCACAACATGACTGCTATTACAGGGTGTGTACTGCCAAGCTGCTGGTGCAGTCACAAGCTGAACAAACTTGGAGATCCCTGAATCTCCCTAAAGAAGAAAGAAAACTGCCTTTCCCTTCTATCTCCTCAGTGGCTGTTCTTTGGTGTGATTTAGGAACAGAGGGGTGGAAACTTCATTGGCAGAAGCTTCTGCTCTGAAGAGGTACCTGTAAAGATATTGCAAGAGGCAAAACCTAGCTCTTTTTAGGACTCAAGAGTGAGGAGCTCAGAGAATGACAGCAGCTGAGGGTGTGGGAGGTGGCCAGCCAGTGCCTAACAGTGCCAACAAAAGTTATTTTGTGCTGGTACCAGGACAAAGTTAAGGGCTAATTAGGCTGAGCTCCTCCAGTGCAGAGATGTAGAGTGATGGGCTATTGTGTCTCTACAACAGAGAAAGACCAGGCTGGCTGGCCCCTTCTCAGCAATCCCCTTGGGAGGAGCAAGGAGCTAGACGGTAAGGACCACTCCATACAAATGGCCCACAGTAACATGAATCTTCTTTCTCTAGAGGGCTCCAAAGTGAGGCACCTTCGCTTTGAAGACATGGGCCCCAACACCCTGAAAGCTTCCTGGGATTCTGCTGATGGCAAAGTCCTTGGTTACAGAGTCAGATGCCGGCGGCAAACTGGCCCTTCATCTGTCATCAGCGTTTCGCCACAGATACACAGTGTGATCCTCACAGACCTGGCTTCAGGCACCACTAACAAAGTGTGCGTAAAGCCCATGTACAAGAACCAGCCAGGCAAACGGCTATGCCGCATGGTGCACATGCAGCCAGGTGAGCAGAATCTGGGGGCACTTTAGCCAAGGGAAAGTGTCCTGAAGGGCACTGAGGTGCTGGAGATCCAACACAGAGGAGCCCTCATGGCTGAAATGCTCTGTGCCCATCAGCTAGCTTGCCAATAGGGCTTCATCACAGCTATCAGCCCAAAAGATACTGTCCAAAGATGGGCTCTTTCCCCATTTTTAAGAGCAATACTCCTCCTAGTGGCATTATATTTGCAGGCAGGAGAAAAAGTGTACAGTGGAGGCAGTCCTGCAACTGCTTTGGGATAACAAGGGCGGGAAGACTGCTAAAAGTTGGCATGGGCATTGGAAGAGCTGTTTAAAAGTCATTTGAACTCTTGGCTACCCTTCACTTTTCAACGTGGCAGGGAGTAGCTGTGTTTAATGGTCAGCTTGTAAGTCACAACACATCTGCTTTCCTCCTTCCATTACTCAGAAGCCACTTACTGTCATGAAACACAAAGGGATTCTTCATAGGCTGAAGTGAAGTAAGAGCTAAAAAGATGCTGTGTGACAGTGCAGAAGCACAGCAAGAGGCTGGAGGGATAGTGAAGATAACCACAGGGACTGGATCTCTGACTCGGTCAAATTTGGAGAATGGGTGGCTAAAGATGACATTATACTTCCTGTGTTCTTCCCAGCTACAGAGGCCCAAGGATATAAGCACAGACAGAGAGCATGATGGATTCTGGAGTGAACTGATTCCCGGCAGAGCAAGGAATCTTGCTTGGACAAAGACTTGGACAAAAAGGAGGGGTCAGGAGAGGAAACTGGAAAGCTCACAGATCATCTCCCAGCCTGCACTGTCTGTTAAGGTGTCCTGGTTGTCAAGCCTAAAGGCTCTCCTCAGCCAAGTTCTTGCAAAGCTTAAAGGTTTGGCTTGGCTGGATGGAACAACCAATCTGACTAATAGACCCCAAATCTGTACCCTCTTTTATATACATATGCCTGACAAATAACAAACAAAAGACAAAGTGATGAATCCTCACTATTGCTTGCTTACTGCCTGTTCTCTATTTATTAAATGTTGATACAGTTTCATTTTTGCAGCTTATGAGCATGTTGAAGACTCAGCTGTTTACTGCCCTGGCCTTTCATTCTGGGCACCTGCACTCGGAGAAAGATTACATGTGGCCAAATCCATTCCTTCTGTCAACAGCCATTGAAACCGACACACTTGACAAAGAGCAGCTTTCCTCCAACTCATCCAGTGTACTCACCAGGTAGCTCAAATTAGGCATCCCAAAAGTATAGCACCTTGGGGATGGAAGGGAAAAGCATTAGGAGGAAGAAGAAGAACATAATACAAACACGTAGAGTATGCAGAGAAGATTGGGTCAGAGCCACCAGGATTTCTGAGAAGAGGAAGAAAAGAGGTTGTTAACCCACTTGGCCTTTGGCTGGGACATCCTGCCTTTTATAAAGTGCAAGGACAGTTTAGTGTTCCCAGTTGGTCTTTGGTTTATAGCAGAGCTGGGTCGGTGAACTGTGAGAAATGGAACGATAGGGCCAGGCCAGGGCTGATGAGCACTGTCAGAGTGATCTAGCAGAAAAGTTTGCTCACTGCCAGCCTGCTGAATTCTTGAGTCTAATCAACACCGTTCCATTCTCCCTCTGGCACTGGTATTAAATTCATCTGCTGCGATGACATACAGAGCCCAGATGGACTTTGAAGGGTTCAGTTCCCCCAAGTCATTTGCCTTGGGGTTTGGTATCAGTCTGAGAGAGCAAGAAACTCAAAAACTTGGGAATTTGCTTCTCCAGCAGATTATTCTACTCTAGAGCTCTCAGCTGAGCTCAAGGAGCAGCAGTGAGTCAAGAAAAGCCAGAGAGCAAGACCACCTAAAGCAGTTATTTTTGTTTTTCATTCACATGCACACCTCCAAACAACAGTGCAGTACTGCCTGCATCGTGACCACTGAATTACCGTGGCATACCTGCAATCAGTTTCACCAAATTGGATGTGAGTCCTGCTATCAGAGCAGCTGTATGGAAATTAATTGGCCTGTTCTGTGACTAATTATGGACAGTAAGTCTCCAGCACTATCATTCCAGGCTCCATCCTCTGCACTCTGAAAACACCTAGCACATCTTTAGTGTCTTGCCCTGGGCTTCCACCCAGTGCTAAGCTTGAGCTACCCTTAATCAGGTTTTTAGGGGAGAAGAGTAAATCTGATTCCTTCCCTTTGGCCCCAGGCTTGAATTTGCTGTCACTAAGCTACTCTTTGGAAAGGGGAGCTGGAAAACAAAAAGGCAATTTTAATAGCTAGTGACAAAGCCATTGGAGCAGCATGGTTCCAAAATTCAGGGCTTAGGGCTGTAAAGAAACATATATACTTTTCTGGTAACAAAACCCAGCATCAGCGGGAACACCTTCCCTCGGTATTGCTTGCTCTATTTTAAATTTATTGCTTATTTGTCCTACATGTGGAACTTGGCTTTTTAAAGCTGTGCGTGTGAGCCCCCATGCAGTGTTGCTCTATCCTGCAAACCCTCCATTAGCTCTGCTTAGGGACTTCTTAAAGCAGCTCCTCCCGGAGCTGAGAGGAACCTTGTCACCCACCTCGTCTCCCGAGTACTGAATTCATCATGTCTAGGTTTATGGAGCATTTGCCTTGGGCTGTCTCCTTGTATAGGAGGAAGGGATAGGAGCAAGGTGAGTCACTCATTAACTCAAGAAGATGATTTTGTATGATTTGTGTTCTCCTTTGGAATGTGCTTTTGTGACTGTTTATTCTTAATGGAGACTCTGTGCTGAGGGGAAGATAAAGCCTCTGGAATCTCTCATGCAATTAGATAATCTTGTTCATTCTTGCTGTAGGACAGAAATTAATTTTGCACAACTCCCTGCATAGTTTACTAATACATTAACATGTCACACCTCCCCCCAATTGTAATGCATCCTTTTGAAGACAATTAAATATACAATACAAGAGCTATTGAATGATTACTTCGTTCTTGATGGCAATAATGGCACGTCTGTTAAGTGTAGCTTTTGCTCTAATGAGAGGTATGGGTTGAAAAGCTGTTATTCATCTCAATTTTAAATGACTGAAAAGTAAGCATTCCACCCATGAATTCATAGTCTGGTTTACATGGAACTTTACCCCCCCCCCCCCCCCCCCCCCCCCCAAAAAAAAAACCCAAAACCAAAAAAGTGCTGGAAATATATAAGCAGAAATATATCAGTCTCAATAATGTCTCAGCTGCTTTTTTTTTTTTTTTAAATAAAGCCTAATGATTTCTAGGGCTTTTTAAACATCTAATCTGTACTGATATAATGGGTATGACACACAAACCCCTATGTAGAATGAGAGCACAAACCATCAGGGCTCCCAGTAGGAGCTAAGTTCTGGTGAGGGGGAGGCTATAAAGAGCTTCATTTGTAGATGAGCTGTCACCAGGTTTTCTTTAGGCTCCTTGCACCTTCTGATGCACGTGGTGTTGGCTATTGTTAAAGATTTAACTGGAGCTGCTGGTGTGATCTGCTGAGAGGGTTCTCATGTTCTTCAGTAATATAAAGACGCCTACTATCCTGTATCAAGACACCATGGATTTTCTGAACACAACCTTGCAGGAAGGTGCTGATCTGTCAGGAACTGGGAGTGGTTATCATGCTCAGCTGATCTGTTATCTAGATAGACACCTAATGGTTTTCTGAAGGAAGAGAGCATACTTCTCCAGTTTCAGAATTTTGCTAGAGTGTTTGTGTTGACTTGGAAGAAATTCGCTCTTAAGTGTGTGCTACTCGCAGCCTTCCCCTATATAATCCCAGGCTCACCGAGAAGCCAAAGTACAACTATAATGAGGATTCACTAGCTAATTTCTCAAAGCAATATGGAGGTTATATCTGCACTTGGCTACTGACAGACAGAAGGGTGTTTAATTTACTGTAGTCGATGACTGCCTGGTACAAACAGGCTTAACTTTGACAGCTTCGCTAAGAAATACGGGCCAGCATACACCTCAAAGGTATGAAGGTTCAGGGAATGTTTTTACCACTGCCAGGATTAAGGAAAAGATTCCACCCTGTATAAAACTGGTGCTGATTGTACAAGCTGAGTGGGGAGTCTCTGTTCTAGAAGTGAAATGCGCTCAGAAGTGCAATTATAGGTGTTTGTTTAGTGCTCGTCTTTTTCCTTTTGTACTAAGTAGTACTGCAATCAAATCTTTATTAAACATTCAATATAGATTCTTTGCCCCGAGATGAAAAATTAAAAATGTAAATTAGAAAACTGCAGATAAAATACGATTAATTATTTTGAAGAATAAGGCTGGAGTGCTTGGGATATATTACCCTGTAACAGTCATTAACTACTTTGCCACTGCATTGGTTTTCCAAAACATATGCATGGCACCGTGGAATCACACAGCAGAGCCAACGCTGATTTTTAGAACAAGCAGTGAATCTGCTAGGTCAACAATAGTTTAATAATAATAATAAAAAAAGAGGTGTCTGATAGAAAAATCAAGTGTTCTGCAGGAACTCTGTGGGAGACTTACTCAAGTGTGCATTTGGGAAGAAACGTGAACATTTGAAGAAAAAAAAAAAAGACACCTGAATGACTGTTTCTGAGTGCTGAAGATGACCTAGGCTGTATTCTACGCCTTACACCATTTCAGGCTGCAGGATTTTACCTGTAAGCTTTAGCGGTGTGTTTTCTGACTTTCACAGCTACTTTCCTTCCTTTTTCCTCCACTCCCTTTTTTTCACGTCGTCTTCTGCATTACCAAAATGTGATTAGGAGCAGATTTGCAGTGAAATACCCCTCTGCATCAAGCATAAGGGTTTATTCCCCCCCCACACACACTCCCCTTAGCAACGCCACCACACTCCCGTTGCTAAGGAAGAACGCCGCCCGCCCTAGTTTGACCCTCTCCGCGCTCCGTCCCCAGCTCTCCCCGCCCACTCCCCTACTCCACAGCCAATCCGATTCCACTCCCCTTCCCGAGCCCGCCCCGTCATTCCGTCCATCAAAAAATACTCCCCCAGCGCCCGCTTCCCGGAGGCGGTGACGCGCTACGAGCGACGGCGCCCCGGCCCAATGAGAAAACGCCAACGCCGCCGCCGCGCAGGCGCACGGGGAGCGGCGCGTCCTCCGCCCGCGCGCGTGCTGCTGCCGCCGCCGCCGGCGTCGTCATGTCTTGGCTCTTCGGGCTGAACCGCGGCTCGGCCCCGGCGGGCGGAGGGGATGCGGCACCGGGTACGGCCGGTCTCTCCCTTCCACCGGCCCCGGGAGGAGGTACCGGTACGGTGGCGGGAGGTGGAACCGGAGACCGTCAACCGCCCAAGGACAAATGGAGCAACTTCGACCCCACGGGCCTGGAGCGGGCGGCCAAGGCGGCGAGGGAGCTGGACGCGTCCCGTGCGTGAGGGACCGGGGTCGGGGTCTGGGCCTGGGGCTGGGTTGGGGTCGCCCCACAGCTCCCGCCGGCCACAGTTAATCGGTACCTGCCGTGCTGGGGGGGGGGCGCCTTTTCGGAGCGTGTTTGCCCGCCGGCCCGGGCAACCTCGGGCTCTTGTAGTGCTCGCCCGGGGCCGCTGCTGCTTCTTGGTGGGAGCCCGGTGGCCTGTAGGGCCCCGAGGTCGACCCTCCGGGTCGCTGGCTTTCTCGGAGCATCGCCACCGGGGCTTCTGAAGCGGGAGGAAGAAACTTTCTTCAGGTTCCACCTTCAGGAGGTGAAGGAAGCACCTTCTCATTAGGGTAAACTCGTTGCCTTCAGATCACGGGTGGGCTGAGAAGGTTTCCGACTGTCTGTCGGCAGGGAGGGTTGAATGTACGGCTTCAGAGCAGTGCGCTAGACAGTCTTAGCTAGTGCCAGGTTGGATTGAATAGACTGAGCGTTTTCTTACTGGAGAAAAAACCTTTGTACTGTTAATAACCTGTTCCCACTGTCAATTTCAGGCCATGCGAAAGATGCTCTTAGTCTTGCCCAGATGCAAGAGCAGACCTTGCAGCTGGAACAGCAAACAAAGCTTAAGGTATGTTGCATCTCATCACCTGTTGTACAGATAGCCCGCCTCAGGCAACTGCCAGGTTTCTGGGGGGGTATGAGTTGAAGTCTCATTTTCTAGCAATCTGCAGAGAGTGCTAAATTTTTCTTGTTGCTGTTCAGCTTTGGCATAAATAGTTATTTGTCTTTTTAAAAAAAAAAGTCTGGAAGGTGAAGTGCAAATTGATTTGGCTTATTCTCAGGCATATATTATGGCTTTGTTTACAAATTGCGTGTCCTGAGTGGTTTTGTAACTCCTAGAATATCACCACCATTTTCAGGGAATGACAAGGGTGTTCTGCAGGGAACTGTAAAGTAGTTGGGTGGAGGACAGGCTTCTGTTTCTTTTATAAAGGAATTTGGGGATTGTTTATGTTGGTTGGTTTGTTTTTTTTCTAAATAAATTGTATACGATCCTGAAACGGCTAATTATGAGATTTCGTACAATCATATTTTATGATCATATTTTAGCTTTCTTGTGTCATTGGTCAGCTTTGCAGGGCACCACTGATTACAGATGGATTTCTTGGCATATAATTGTCACTAGTGTTTCTCTATAGGATGATGTATTGAGCTTATTTGCAATGATTATCTCTTTTTCTTGATAGGAGTATGAGGCTGCCATAGAACAACTGAAGAATGAGCAGATACGGGTACAAGCAGAAGAGAGACGAAAAACACTCAGTGAAGAAACGAAACAGCATCAAGCAGTAAGGGAATGAGGGGGAAGCCAAGTGATGGGAGGTCTTTTTTTGTCCTTTATGGAAAAGGCAACAATGCATTAATTGCCCCCTTTGGGGGACGGGGGAAAGGGGAGCCCATTTTCTACCCTGGCTTTGTAATTGTGAACTTGATTTGTAGTTATACATGGTTTCGTCATCTTGAACTTTTGTTACCAAGTTCTTGAACGTCTGAAGGAACTGGTAGTAGCAGTTACCCTTATTGTGTGCTCTTTGAAATTTTCCTAAAGAAACTTTCAAGGAAGTGCTATTGGACATGCTGAGATACACCTGTTTGTGTCTAACAGCTGATGGTGTTAAAAGGTTGAAGACTACTGGCTTATCAAGTATATTTGTTAGCCTGGATAATGAAGTGTCTCAAGTTATTTGGATTTCAGTCTTAAGTAGCCTGCAACCCTATTTCTTCCAAGTTTGATCTTTTAGACAGGAAAAAAATACCTCAAGAGAAGAAGTGATGCAAATCTGAGAGTTACCGGAGGCTGTGTTGTAAGCAATGTTGGTGCTTTCTGGTGTGGTTTAGCATGAGTTACTGAAGTGGCAATAATACTGAAATCAGGGAAATGTAAACTAGATTTTAAGCTAATAGCTCACATATGGTGACTTTTTACTTTGAGAGCACAGGGAACTAGGTGATTGATTAATTGATTGTCTAGCTTGGGAAGATAGCTAAACCTGCTTATTTGGCACATGTTGCTTTTTATCCCATCAGAGTTTGGACTTTGAACGGGGCTGGCTCAGGAAGCAGGCTTCACAGTCATCTGTTCTGTTCACGAGTTAGCTCTTGAACTCTTGCAGTTCACAGGGCATCATTTGAAGTCAGAGCAAACTTGATCGTGATTTACTTCTGAAGTGCCATGCTTTGCAGTTGTTGAGGAATCAACTTGCAAGCTGTTCTGCTGTCTGTTTGGAATAGAGAATAATATCATCCCTTGTACAGAGTCCTCCTTGCTGATGGACATGGGCCCTCAGACCACTTTCAGTTGAGTGTAGGTGACGTGGGTTTATTTGCCAGTTGCAGTCGAAAATCAATGAGAGAAATTAATGAGGAACAAGAAAATCAATCAGAAACAGAGCTCATCTGACAGGCAGCATATCTTGACAGTTCTATTGCTTTCAATCACCAGTCCAGGTAATGTGTTTTAGAACATGAGAAAAATGTTTTTCCCAGTAGACAAAGTCTCCTTTTCTGGCCAAGGCACACTTGTTCTTTGTTTTTATACCTGTGATACCTTAAAATGAAGTCAGACTATATAGATTTCTCAGCATAGAGGAGTTTTGGTGCTGACTGAGGATGTTTTGCACCAAACTTTGCCCTGTTCATATTCAAACCCGGGTTTATTTTGGGGGGTGGGAGGATGTTTTTTTCCCTCCGGCATGTTCCAAACCTAATTGCCCTCAGAACTAGGTTCCCTCTTAAATGCCTAATATTTATTTTTTGAATTCTCTTTTTTTTTTTTTTTTTTTTTATCTTGAAGCGAGCCCAATACCAGGACAAATTGGCAAGGCAGCGCTATGATGAACAGATGCGACAGCAGGTATGATGGCTTCCTTCTCTAACCCAGCTGGCAACTGTATAGTAGCTTTCTTAAGTCAAAGTGGTGATCTGGAACTGTGCCCTATTGTGCTGGCCAGATGGCTGATGCTAGGCACAGTTGCTTTCATCTGTACTATTTCCTTGGCATCAACAGTGCTGGCCAGGCAAATCAAAGGTCAGGAATTAGGACAAAGTGGCTAGGAGCATGGGCTTAAGAGTACGAATCTGGGAGATGCGGAGGGGGAGAATGCACTTCAACTTGAGCACTAGCTTCTTGAAAACATTTGTAGTACTTAAGTTTACACAAATACCTACTTGTCCGAGTTCTTACAACTTGAACACATCTTCTGCTGTCATCTCTGCCTGTAGCAACTGGCTAATGAAGAAAATCTGAGGAAGCAGGAGGAATCTGTGCAGAAGCAGGAAGCCATGAGGCGTGGTAAGCTGGTAACTTTTCTTTTGCTAGTGACAGAGTGGGTGGGCGGGCGGGCGTGTGAGTTCTCTGTACTGATCTTTGACTCCTTGTCGGTATTGGTTGATGCTCCATTAGGGTCATGTGTTAATGTCATGTTGGCAAGTAATGGGTAAATCCCAGTAGTACTAGAACTACCCATTGCTTCCAAGATTAGTTTTAGAAGTGGCTGTACTCCTAAACGTCTGCCCTGTGGTACTTGGATTTCCCAATGAACTGTCAGGATCTCCTGATATAGCAAGTGAAATTCTGATTTTGTACTGGGACAATCTAAAATAGAACCAGTTTTGAGGAGGGAAGAGAAACAAAATAGCTCTTGGGAGGAACGGCTGAATCCGTGTCACCTAGTCTCCACTGTTTCCTGTAGAAAATAAAAGCTGAGTAATGAAGTTTTAGTCTGAAACTTGCTTTGTTTCTTTTCATTGTTGTGGAATTGCCAGAATCACTGGGTTTGCAGAACTCCAGTGGGACTCCACTAGGGCACAGGTCTTAGAAATGTAAGGCGATTTGTGTATGACCAAACCGGGCTGGAAGGCTGATTTGCTCTGTACGCAGTCGTGGACTGCTGTGTTGTCCGCTCCTTGCTGCCATCTGGTGTACTCTCAGTGTTTGTCGGTATCTTTGAGGGAAGTATTGCAGCAACCATGTAACAACGCTCAGTGGTGAAACCTTGTAGGAGAGGGTGATTCTAGTCTTGTATGCACCTACTCAGAGGCACCAAGATAGGAACGTTGAGGTAACCTGTCCAGCATTCAGGTATCAAGATGTGTACCAGGTATTAAGTAGCTAGGTCATCCAGTCAGGACTTCTTGCAGTGACGCTGAAGATAGAGGGTGCTGTCTGTGAAGTCCTCATCTCCTGGGTTGTTCTTAGGTTTCTCATTCACTCTCCATTCACATCAATCTTAATGTGTCTTTTGCAATTCTGTGTGTCTGAAGTAACAGAGCTTCCAAAATCCCCTTTGGGACAGCACTGTACGGGCAACTCTGTTTTCCTTCTCTTCCTTACAAGCAGTGTATGTTACACTGTGTAGTTACTTGCCCAGGGTTGTCCTTTGTTGTCTGTAGCAGGTCACCCTTTCTCTCTGAAATTATGTTAATGAGCAGCAGCAGCGCGTACCAGTGTGGTTTTTCACTCTCTGTTGCTTTATCCTTTGTCTAGTTCATCTCTGACTAAAGTTTGCCCTGAGCAATTTTTCTGGTAATGAACTTCAGAAATGAAGCGTGATTATTGTCTTGCAGTGTGCCATCTGGAGAAGGCCACCTATTTGGTGTGTGATCCCTCTGAGCACAGAGGGAAAATTCCTTGTCTTGTCTTCTGTGATATTGTACTGGTTGGCTGCCTTTTGGGGGAGGGTGGGAGGGAATTAAGATCTTGAAGTCTGCTGCTATGGGACTACACACAGCTGTTGCGAAGCCAGGATGAAGCAATGCATCTCTTTCACCTGCCTGATACCTGGGATTAAGCCAGCCCAAAAGATTGTCCTCTTTTTTCCTTTTTTTTTTTTAAGCTACTGTAGAGCGAGAGATGGAGCTGCGGCATAAGAATGAAATGTTGCGTGTCGAGGCAGAGGCAAGAGCCCGTGCCAAGGCTGAGCGGGAGAACGCAGACATCATTCGGGAGCAGATCCGTTTAAAAGCTGCTGAACATCGCCAAACTGTGTTGGAGTCCCTCAAGTATGTGCGAGCCAGGAGAAGGGCATGGGTTGCCTCACTGCTTTTGCAGATTTCTCCCGTCATGTAGGAAACCTTGCTGTTTATTCCTCTAAGCTCTGAGGAATATCAAAAGTTAGTTTGTATACTCTTGTACTCTGAACAATAGGAATTATATTAGAGAACCCTGTCTTTCACTTGTCTTGCTACATTGTCATCTGAACGTGAACCAAAGAGACTATTTATAGAGTTGTGAATTTTATACAGTTTTTCTAACAAATTACTTCAAGCCTTATTTGCTAAGATTGAGACTCAATTACTCTGAAAACTCTGAGAGTCCTTTCTGTTTCTGAATAAATGCCATAAAGGTATAAAGCGGTCTGTCTCCAAAGGGGTGGGCATTTAGGTTTGTAATTTTTTAGGTTTAGGTCCTTCGAGATTTTGAATAAAAAAAGCTTTAGAATTAAATACCTTTTATTACAGTTCAGCACCAATAATTTATTAAAGACAGACATTGATATTATCTTAATGTCAAATGCTCTTCTGGATTTAATTCCAGATCAGGTATAGACATCAGATGATTATAAATATATTTGCCATGCTTGTTCATGTTTCAGTTCCCAGGGGAGCCCTCAATTAGCTTTGACTGGTTCTGAAGAAGATCATTATAAAGTTGTCTTGTAAATTGCTTCGATTCAGTCTTTGAAATCCCTTTCTCTTCTGCTTGCCTTGCTGCTTGCTTACCATAGGACAGCTGGGATGCTCTTCGGGGAAGGATTCCGTGCTTTTGTAACAGACTGGGATAAAGTTACGGCCACGGTAAGATTGTAACATGTATTGATAACTTCCAGAAAAGTCTGTCTGTAAATATGTGTTAAACTCTTTGATATGTTTATAAACTGTAAACCACTGCGGGAGTTTGCTGATCACTTAGTGCTATCTGCAGTCCTCATTTAAGGAGATGCTGTGCTTCAGATTTTTATTCAGATTAATTCTCATCTTCTCTGTATAGATAATTTGTTTCTCATTGGTCACAAAAGTTCTGGCTTTGATTGATGAACAGCATATAATTGTCTTGTCTTTGGAGGCACCATCACCTTTACAAACACATTTCCTGAAAGTTTGCCAGCTATTACAAGTAATAGATGCAGAATCTGTGAAAAAAGTGGATAAGTCTTTTTCACAGGTTGGTTGGGATTTTTTTCCCACAGATTGTTCTAGAATTTGCTGTCTCTATGTATGTAGGGGAGTAAGGGGTTTACCTAACAGCCAATTAGAGATAACCACAGATTTTTTTTCTTCAAGACCTTGAAAGCAAATTTTGTGTTTGACTGGGCTCTCAGCTGACAAGTTTTCATTCAGGTTTTTAATGACTGATGTTCATTGTACTTCCGTGATGCACAAACGTCTATAAATGTTCATAGGGGAACAGAGCATTATGAAATGTTTAATGCTGCTGTTACAAGACGACTTTGCCAGCGGTGGTTTTGGGGAACAGGGATCTAATTCCCATTTCCTCCCGCCCCTGATGTCTTTTGTATGTTTGCAGTTAAACTACAAACTGAAAATGTTTGGGTTTTTTTAGGAATATTAGGGAAGCTATATTGGAGATGTGTAATAGTCGATCTGGTGGACACAAAAGGGGTTTGTTCCCTCTAAACCAGTGGTCTCAAAAATTTTTTTATTACGTACCCCTTACAGTAAAAAATTTCTGAGAATACTCCCCCAGAAAACAGTAAGAGATGCATCATGAAAGTTTGTTTTGTTTTTAAATTATAATATAAATTATAATATGATTTTAAGGCCACAGAAAGAAATTCTTCAGCATTCTCCTTTTGCGTGCATTCTGTCTGAGTGCAATTTCTTCCCACCAAATTAGCTGCCAAGAACTTGCCTGCTACTCTCATCCCAGGTGGATAGCAGACTGTCAGCTCTCTGTGATCAGGACGCTTGAGGGTACCGTTTTCATCTATGAAGAGCGCTGCTAGTCTCTGGAACTTCAAGACCTTGCAGGACATGATCTAAAACTCACTTAGCTGCTTATCTCACAACTTTATATCTAATTTTGATGTAGCCTAGAGAGCACTTGGAGAACTGTTAGGTGTGCAAAATAAGTTGATTAAAAGCTGAACTAACATCTTTTCACGGGACAAAAGAGCATGGTAGTGGCTTCTTATGGACATAAAGTTGTTTCTCAGTGTACTACTTAAAACTTTACAGTGAAAATATATTTTTAGTAGTATGGCTTGTTAAAATGGACGTTTTGCTTTAAGTCAGTCATTACCATCTGCTCCACCCTCCGGTTTTATACACACAGGCTGATATAAAAGACACTTTGCCCGAGTGCGCTGGGGAGAACAAGACATGCGTTTAGTGGATCCTTTTGTAATCTGTAGGCTGTACCTGGAATGCCTGCACTATTCAGAGCCTTTTGCAGATTAGTGCTTGGTGCTTTTAGCTGCATATTCTCTTGACCCAGATACCGGTTTCCTGCATTATGGTCATTTTTGCTTCTGACAAGCTCTTGTCTTGTGAATTTGGGACATCTGGCTTAAAAAAAAAAAAAGTAAGTATATTTTTGGAAAGGAGGTAACACAGCTGGAACGCATATTTTCTGTTGCTTTGAAAAGTGACTATAAGGTAAGAATTAGCCAGTTATTTTAGGGTTCCTCTAAATTAGCCCTGGATGGATTTTCAGCTCTTCCTGCCTACTGGAAGGGCTGCCTTTTTTCTGCCTCTTCCCATCCAAGCAGAAGCCCAAAGGTTCTGCTCAAAGATTTTTTAGTTTTTTGGGTTTTTTTAGTGGAATTCACTTTGCTTATCAGCCAGAGATTCATTTCTTTGCTAGATACTTCATGATAAACAGATAGGCACTGTAATCAGACCAATTTGTGGAGTTGGCATAGTAGTTGGGTTCTTCTGTGAATGTGAGAGTCGACTAATTTTCCTGTTTGGATACGTAGCTGTCAGTCTTAAAGCTGTATTTCTCTGTATCTTGTATCATGAACTCAGTGAAGTCCAAAAGTCTGAAATACTTCTCTCTGCCTGGATGGATCTGATGTATCAACCTGTAACTCTGCTTAGTACTGGATATTGCTAAAGCAGATGGTATAAGAGTGCGTGAGATCATTTGTCAATGGTACCTTGTTTTTAGAGGGAGGCTGCTAAAAAGGAGGAGTCTCTTTTGTGTTCTAAAGTCCCTGTAAACTGAGATAAATCAGGTGTGGAAGTAATCTTACTCTTTGCATCTTGGAACTCACAATTCTGAACTGTTCATGTTTCCATCCAAAGCAAAGGTGATGTCACATGTTCAAGCAGAGTGAAACTGAACATATGGTGTCTCATGGTTTATTTAACAATGCCATCCTTGTTGTCCTTGAGGCTTTTGACCTTGTTCTGTACTTGTAGTAAAAGTCTGCTTACTTTAAAAGCAATGCTGCAGCTTGCTCTTTTGTCTATCTGGGCTTGCTCTGGTAGGAATTATTGGCATCTAGCTGTAAGCTGACCGCAACTGATTACTTGCACTCAGAACTGTGTGGAACAGTTGGCCTCTTCCCAAACACCTCTCAGTTTAAAAGTAATGCCCCTTGTTCCCTTGCATTTTCAGGTGAATAGGACTTTTGGTAAATCAACTGACTCGCTTGCATACGTACAGACAGATGGAACTGGAGGCTTATGTTTGTGCACATTAAGTGAAGTTTTAAAAAATTTATCAGTGCTCTCAGTCTCTGAGTATTAAGGAAACAATCCTATACATGCTAAAGATTTCTGTAAAGTCTTGCTTTCAAATCCTGTCCTGAAATTTTATTCTTAGCAACCTCCTGGAGTGTCTTTAGTATTGTCAGCACAGCTCGTTGTCTATTCTGACAGCTAGCTATGGTGGAAGAAGCTGCCTGCGAGGCTCTTGGTTTAATATGAGCCAACGTAGTGCTGAACCAAGCCACAACCATAAACCACAGAGAAGCCTGGATTCTGCTTCACCGGCAAATTGATAGGAATGTCTCATGTTCTGGGGTTTCTGAAACAACAGTCTCTGATGCAGTGATGGTAATTCCTGTGGTGGTTTTGGCTTTGAAGCTCCTCTTGAGTACCTATTTTCCTGTTGTGTTGGGTCTGGCATGACTGTTCACCTTTAGCAGGTGTACTCTGGCTAGTCCTTTTTGCTCCCTACTCTGTACTGCCTTGGTGGCAGCCACAGTTCAGATGTTTGTCTTAGCATCTCTAATTCGGCATACGTTTTCTTCTATGGTGAGGGTTAGCGTGGCAGACAGCACCTGGTTGATGCGGGCTTATTCTTAACTGCTTGCACAGAATACCTGAAAAAAACCCCAAACCACGCCACTTTCCCAATGTGCTTTTGTTCATAACACTGGAAGCTAAAGCTTCAGCATTATGGGAGATGCTGTTTTCTCATAGGAGGCTTGTAACTCCGGTTTGTAGCAAAGCCTGATGGCTATTTGTCTTAATGCATATTCTACTCAGTTAAAAGTTTGAAAAGCCACACATGTTTTGAGCAGGGAGTACGTACTTCTGGATATATGACTATATGCATTACTTGTGCTTCCGCTGCCTTTCACACTGTGAGATGCAAGAGCACTAAATGCCCTATGAATAGGGAATGTAAGACCTTGACTGAACAGCGATAAAACATCTTACCAAAAGTAAACCCCTATTGGTCAGCATTTGTCCTGAATCTTAATTCCCCACCACAGGGCATGCTACACACAATAGCGTTGCCTTGCCAAGTGTTTTTCCTAATCCTTCCCCCTTTTCTTTGCAGGTGGCAGGCCTAACCCTGCTGGCAGTGGGTGTTTACTCTGCCAAGAATGCCACTGCAGTAGCAGGGCGATACATAGAAGCACGTTTGGGCAAACCTTCCCTGGTGAGAGAAACCTCACGCATTACTGTACTGGAGGCACTGAAGCATCCTATCAAGGTAAAGTTTAGCTTTGGTTTTGTGTTGCACTCAGCCATGGGGATGCAAAACTCCTTTTGCAGCTCTTTGTGTCAGGCAGGGAGCTGTCAATGGCTCTGTGAATAATAGTACTATTGGAGATAGCATAGGTGGGCGGAGATCATTGTCATTTCATATGACCTTTTTGTCTAGGTGAGTTGTCAAAACTGTGGTTGGTATCTACATGTCAGTAATTGAATTTGTCCTCTCCAGGTTGGTAAGCGTCTTACCAGCAAGGCTCAGGACGCCCTTGAAGGAGTTGTTCTCAGTGTGAGTACTCTATTTTGCTGTCTTGGTCTGTGAAGGATGACTTTGGAATCTAAATGAGAACGGCTGGTTCCTTAGCTCACTTCAAAAGCTGTAATTCCAGTAATTCTGGAGACATAGCACCCTCAGGGCACTGAGACTGTAAATAAGCTCCCATGTTCAGTGTGACACGTGTTAAGCACTCTGTTAACCTTTTTTTCTCTGTGCAAAGCAGCTGGAAGTCTTAGTTCAGTTCTCGCCTTGCTACAGTTTTTCTCTGTAGTCAGCATGTTAATATACAGACTTCCACTTGTCTCATCTAATCTGTTAAGGATTACTGAACCTAGATCTGCTTGTAAGCCAAAAAGCCAAAGAAGCATAAGCATTTGCCCATCTTGTGAATGGTTCTTAACTTGCTAATTAGGGCTGCTTCTGTATATTTGCTTCTGAATTTGATTCCTGGATATGAGGCAAATTTAAGTGCTTCTTGAAGCTGCTGAGAGAAAATGCTCCTGCAAGAAGCAGCTTTCTCCCAGTATCTCTACAAATGCAGTAGTAAGTATGAACATGAATGTTTATGACTTACATGAAAGAATTATTACTGCAAAGAGTTGCTTATGTTTTGACATATCCCTCCCATGGCATCCAGTAGGAAGTGAATACTTAGGTGTTATCAGTTCTTACAGTAGTTACTGCACTGCTGCTTTTTCTTATAAAAGAATTGTAGCCAAGCGGACAGAACTTTAAATTGAGTAAATCCTGACATAGAGGGAGAAATGACCCTGGTCTGAAGTAAGAAGCAGCTGAAGTTAAGGCTTAAAAGCTTGAGACTGTAGGAGTGCTGCCTGCTTCTTGCTGGTACTGATCTGCGAAGCTGATACATGCAGGTCTGTTGGTACTTTCTGTTCCTTAAGTTTAACCCTTTTTTTGCAGCCACAGTTAGAAGCACGTGTGAGAGACATTGCCATAGCAACAAGAAATACAAAAAAGAACAAAAGCCTGTACAGGAATATTCTTATGTATGGTCCCCCTGGCACTGGAAAGACGCTCTTTGCCAAGGTAAAACCCTGCCAAGATTCTGACAACCTGCATGTTGCAGGGTGCTCTGAAAACTTCAAGGTCCAAGCACCCTCCCTAGTCAAATCTGTTGCTGTAGTATTGCATAAACATTGTGTTCTTGTGTCTCTGTTGGGAAGGGAGGAAAGGGCATCCAGCCTGCTTCAGCTTTAAATTAGTACAATCACTTGAGTTCTACTGCTAAGTGTAGGCAGAAGAGCCCTTCCATCTGGAAAAGGCACTTGGCAACTGTGACTTGTGAAATCGCAACACCAACCTGTTGTCCCATTTCCACCTCTGTTAATTTTATGCACTTGTCTAAATAGGGTCTTTCCTCCTGTCACTTACTAATCCCAGAGCAGAGAAGAGATAGGTATGGCTTCACTGAGCATGTGCACTACCAGGATAGTTTTTGCATGGATTTGAGTAAGGAATTGATTTTTGAGTTGCTCTTCAGTGCTTGTCCACTAGATCTGAGGTTTCATATACTTGTTTAACAGTGGCAGATTTGACGTGCTGATGCAAGTTGAATTTTTTTTTCCTCTATCAGTACATTAAACCCATATCCCAGTAGTGTTTTGCTGCCTGCTCTGACAGTATGCCACCTAGTTCGGATTTCTAAAGCCAGTAGAGAGGGACGAATCTAGGAAATGGCAACAGCAGCATAAGGAGAAGGGAGAAGTGTAAGAGCTGAGAGAATTGATTGGCAGTGGACAAAGAAGTTTATTAAACAGTCCAGAAGTTCTCTTAACACTTTTCCCCAGTAGCGTAGAAACTCCCAAGGGGATGGTGGTGGTAGCTGTAAAAGATTGGAGCAGGTCAGGAGGAAGATGGATGTAAGGGTGAGACCTGTATGCTCTAGAGAGGAGAGAATACTATGCTGGGAAGCCGACTGTTTTCTGAGCTATGACTTTTGTACTTGGGTTAAGGGCAGTGATGATACAGATTGCTATTATTGCTGTTCCAAAAAGGTAACATGTCATAGTGTGGTGTCTACTCTGACTCCTGGAGGGCAAAGACATATATGAGTCTGTGGTGGTAAGTAGTAATGCTGTATGACAGGATTCTTGAGACAGATGTAAACACACTTGGATGCAACTGTTAAAGCTTCCAGCTTTGGGCTGATACAAAACACTAAATGTTAGTAGCAGGAACTGGGTGGTTTTAAAGGGCAGAGCAAAGCTTTTTTTCAGCCTCCTGCTGCATAGCAGGTAACTGGTTGGATTCAGCTAAGCATGTTTTGTGGGGCTGTTGCTGATCTGCTTGGGCTGACTTGTTCATTTTAACCTTCAGATGACTTTTCCTCACTTGGCAGAACTGGATAGCCAGGTCTGGGTCAGCTAATAGTATGTTAACTCAGCCTGCTGTCTGTTACCATGGCAGAGCTCAATTGGTAGCTGCTTTGTGAACTGCTTTCTGAAATGGAGGAGAGAGAGAGAGATCTTCCTATCTTTTGGCTTCAAATCCTAGCAAAGTCTGTTCTTACAGATACAGGCATTTGTGGGCTAATTTGCCACTGAGATGTTGTAGTGAGGCGGAGTGCAGGTTTAAGCTGGGACCTTAATTACAACGTTACATGGCTCTTAGTAGACCTGTTTGGGCTGAAGTAGAGGGAGGCATTGCCAAGGCTATAGTTCTGCCCTGCAGTGACATGACAGCCTAAGCAAACTTTGGTCAGTGCAAGCCATAGGCTCTTCTGATGCACTTGGCTAATGTTGGCTACATCCTGTCAAACTTGCTTTATGGATAGACTTGCATTTTCTGTCCTAGCAAAAAATCAAAGAGGATTTTTTTTTTTTTTTTACCTGCAGGCTTAAGGAAGGTATTTCCAGCATGCCTCAGGAGCTTCATCAAAACCTTTCACTTAGTAGTCACCATACCAATGAGTCTGGCTTTAAAACACAGGCAGGCTTTAAAACACAAAGGGAAAATTCTGTTATTTTGTCCAAATACTCATCAGGTTCACTGACCATTTAATTCCAGGCTTTTAACTTTTTTTTTTAAAGGAATAAAATTTTCTGAGAGTTGTATTAGTTAAGCATCTAAGAGAGAGTAGAATCCTGTTATAAACTAGACCATGAAGAAAACAGTGGAAGAAATAAACAATACAGAAGTTAAAGATGAAGGTCTAAGCACTCTGAGCATTAAAATTTTGTGCGCTGCCACAAGACTAAACTTCCATCTTTCATTCCCATTCAGAGCAATGGTGAAATCTGCCCCTAAGTGACTAAAGAAGTATTCTCTTCTCTGAGAGCATACTTTCCCTCTGCAAATAAGCATGCTGATAGGACTAAACTACTTTTATTTCCCTCCTCCTCTTCCGTGGTCTTGCAGTGAAAGAGAGTGCTTAACTCACTGTTTTTGTTTCCTTCCAGAAATTAGCTGTGCACTCGGGCATGGATTATGCCATCATGACAGGTGGCGATGTTGCCCCCATGGGGCGGGAAGGAGTTACTGCCATGCATAAGCTCTTTGACTGGGCAAACACCAGTAGGAGAGGGTAAGTAGAGGTTCCTCTGAATACTGAATTCGGTTTCTTGCTCAGAGAAACTCACTGCAACGATGTAGTTCAGACCCCTGATCTCTGTTTGTTATTGAATGATACTCTTGCACAGATGAGGTAATACTGACCAGGCATAACATCTCCTAAAGTTTTCCTGGAATGGATGAATTCTTGCTGCTTAGTAATATTTAAAAGGCTGAAAGCTTTTGCTCTTCTGCTCCCTCAAACCCTTCTTGTTTACTTCAGATTTTCTAGATCAGTCATTGCTTGACTCTCTGCTGATCTCACCAGGCAGGTGGAGAAATATTGCCTGCTTGAAGGCTGGGACGCATTTCTTTCAGAGTGATTAGCTTTCTGACGGTAGTTAGGAGACATAGCACAAATGGAGGTGCAACCAGGTGTTTACAGTCTCTGGATATTATGTTCCCTGTTGTGACTGCTCATTTTAGGCTCTGATATTGGATCCAGCTTCTTGTTTACTTTTGAGTCTCAAGCAGAAGTAGCAAATTACAAGAAATAAAAGAGGATAAGGGGGAGACAGATGCTAAAGGCATTGACGTTAGATAGGTGTAAAAGTCACAAGCTGCTGTGCTTTTTCAGTCACCTTTAAAAGCAAACTTTTATCTGCAGAAAAGCATTCATGTTGAGGCTAAATCTTGGCTCGCTGATTTTGTAAGAGTATTTTGTAAGAGTAGTTAATTTGTTCATACTAGTGTAAATGGATTTTTGCAGTCCAGAGGTAGCTAAGAATTTGCTTGTCCAGCCAGGATATTAAAATTCAATAGAGTACTTGCAGTGGGTGTCAGTTTGGGTTTTTGTGCTGTTTTGATTGCAGGTCTTCTGTAAATGTGGCTAACTGGTGATTTATGTGTTCTCTGATTGCTTTAGATGGGCATTGTTTTCCAGTGTCTGTTTTAATCCTTGCTGCATTCATCATCTAAATGTTTCTATTTCCCCTTTAAAAAAACCCAAAAATATGCAGAGTAGATGTCCTAAGGATTTAAACTCTTTAAGCTTCTCCTACCCTGAGGAGTTAGAGAAGGAAAGGTGTAATAATTAAAGTAAGCTTAGAAAAAAGAAGTTGGAAGAGATACGAAGATACTCAACTGCTGGATGCTTTCACTAGAGTTCTTTTTCACAACACTGCCTGGGTCTGAATTTATTCTCTGTCCTGATAAAAACTTCTGTGCATTTGAACTTCATAAGCTTCAGATAGCCATCTTATGAAAGTTGTGATCAAAGATTACACGTATCCATATACATCAATATTCTAACCTCTAGTAACATTCAAGTATTTAAGCAGATTTTATTCTGGGTATCCAACAATGTTAGCTGTTAGTTCTGTGTTGCCTTTATTAGCTGAAAGCCATTGTGATAGAAGATACTTCTCTGCAGAGACTGTAGCTGAGAATATTTTCAGAAAAGCTGGAGCTGAGTAAAAGATGTTAATAGGCCCTGAAATCCCTTGAAAGAAAGCTGGTTTTGAAGCTAGGCGAGAAGGTAATACAAGCTGTGACAGCTTTATGAGCAACTTGGTTCTGTTATTGATAAACATCTTTATACGCTTTGTCTCTTGGGAAGAGCACTACCCTTGGGTTATAAATGAATTTATTTTTGTGAATTATTCATTGACTTTATTAATTCACTTCTCCACAAGTAGTAAAACCATTGTGTTATTGCTAGTGCAGTTTGGAAAGGGGAAACCCCCCAAAATAACAAAGCAAATTGCAGGGGAGGACTCTGGTTTGAGGTTTTCAGAATGATACAAGGAAGAAAAATGGCAGGAAATGCCGTTGTCACCAAGATTTATTGTATGCTTGTGTACCGGTCTTGTACCCTTGTGCACATTTCTCTAAATAAGAGGGAATGGTAAAATAAGCACTCTCACAAACACTTGGGGAGCCAGTCTAAATTTCAAAGATCTACTCCAACTTGGCAGTAACATACCAGTACTGCTAGATACAAGCCCGTTGCCAAACCATGCCTATGAAAACTCCCATCTATATTTAAAAATCTGGAGGAAGTTAAGGTCCTGTGCCCTAGAATTGCTTCTGTTCAGTCTGTTTCTGCACAGCAGGAAACAAAACTCCAGAGGCCTGGAGACAGATTTACGGCCTAAGGTGTTTTAAGCTAATACCTCTTACTTAACTCTTGGGATGGGCCAAGTGCTTGCAATGGAAAAGTTGCTGTAGCTTAGCTGAGAAATGTTGCCTTAAGAAATGAATCTGCTTGTGTAATCCTTGGGGTTTACAGCTGGTCACAGTTATGGGTGCCTGATAGTGGGACAGGAGAATCCTTGAGCCATTTGAGCCTCACTTACCTGTCTCCTATTACTGTGTAGTGCTTTCCTTTTACAGCCTCTTGCTATTTGTGGATGAAGCGGATGCATTTCTACGGAAGAGGGCAACAGTAAGTACTTTCTCTATGTCCATTACCAGTGCATGCTGCAGAGTTAGTCAGCCGACAGCCGCCTTGTTTAACTTGATTAACTAGCTTCAACAGGCAAAAGAGTAAAACTGGCAAGTGCCTTACTACTCACCTAATTCAGTGATAGAGAGACAAGAAATTAGCATCTTGCAACTGAATAGAATGAGCATCTCAAGACTGACTTGAGAATTCCTCCCTACAAGAGATGGGTGACACAGTCTTTTTGGAGGTTTTGCAAGTGACTGGGCAGTAGGAAAGAGCGAGCCTTATCTTGAAAACAAGAGAAGGTTGTTCACACTGCAGAGCTGATACCCTGCAGCGTTTGGTTTTTTGTCCCAACAGATACTTATCTTGGGAGGTTTTCGTAACAACTGCTTTTCACTGCATTAACAAAGCTATGCTAGCATCTTCCCCCATACAAATGATTTATATTTTCAAACTAAGTCACCATATTGTACATTGAATCTGGACCTGCTACTTGAACCCCAACAGTCTATTTAAAGAGCTATCCCTAGAAGATCACTTTGAATGTGTAAGTGAATTCTTTGCTGTGGATTATTTTCCTGTAAGTACCTTAATGGACTTGCCAGCTAAAATAGTGTTCAGCAGGGAAAGCCACCTGGGCCAATGGTTAGAGCCTCGGGTTTGAAATCAAGAGAATCACTGAATGACTGTGGGTAAATATTTAATCTCTGCTGGAAGCTTTAATTCCTAACCTTTTTCCTGGATATATAAATTGATCCTTTTTTTTTCCAAGGTATTATAGTGCTTCTGGATTCTACTGTAATGCAAATAGTTGACAATAACAGAACTCACTTTGTCAATAATGCTGCTTAAAGCTGTGACCTGTCTTAGGTCCCCAAGCAGTTGATCTTCCTTTGGATTTCATCTTTGCAGGAGAAAATCAGTGAAGATCTCAGAGCAACTTTAAATGCATTCCTGCACAGAACAGGGCAGCACAGCAACAAGTAAGTATCCAGTTTCAGCCCTTACAGCAGTCGATATTTCCGTGAATTGAGGAAAGTCTGTAAGGGGTCTGTGGTGTGCAAATGAAAGTTGGAAATACATGATCTGTGCTACTAAGGACTTGAAAAAACTCTGCACAGAATATCCCTAGTTCACTTTATATACTGAATTTTTGGCTTTCCCTTGCTCCTCCTTTATTTCTTCCTGGGACCTGGAAATTAGAACTCAGAAGGGCTGTACACAGGGTAGAGATCGGTGCTTGTAAAAAGGGTGTTCATTTGGCCCATGTTAGCAGATGCGCAAAAGGGATCTTGAACTGCCTTTCAGGACAATGCTTCCTCTGCATGTGGTATGTGGTGGTGAGCAGTTCCCTTTCGTGTATCATCCATACTGTGTGTGGCTCCCTTCCAGCACTGTAGGGGAATCGTTTGCTGAAGCAGGGATGGTATTTGAACATATCGATTGTCTTAATGAGTACATTCTCTTTCCTGATAAGTTACTGTTGTTTATGCAAGGACAGTATGGGGCCCATGAAAATCAGTATCACAGGGTTGATACTGTCTGGATGTTTCACGGTCTCTTAAAAAATGCATCAGCAGGTGCTTGTTTCAGCTGCTGTTCCTCTCCAGTGCTTTAGTGGCCTCTTTCTATGCTGTGCATGTGTGTGCAGTGGGGGTGGGTTTGAAACTGGGGCAAATGAGTTTAAATCTGACCCCATTTCTTTTGCATGAGCTGTCTGCTCGGTATGTCGGTGTGTAACGTTGCGCTTAAAGGTAGGAATCCCAGAGCTGTTTCCTTCATGGCTGCTATTAGATTTGCTAAACACAGATGATTGCAGGGCTGACTTGACAGATGCATGTGTGTGAATTTCACTGCCAATCCATCCATGCTCACTTTGTCACATTAATGTTAACTTCTTGCAGAGCACTGCTTAGTTTAACAAGAGCCATTTCTTGGCTATCATAATAAAGACGTGACCTTTCCTCGACCTTTTTTAAATAACCTTTGATTTGATTTTTTTGTGTGTGCGTGAACTTTACTTAGTTGTTAAACTTCTTGTTTGCTCAATTTCTTTGTAAAAGAAAAGTTGTCTCTGTATGCGGGAAGGCAAGTTTCGCAGTGATGAATGGCTCCCTTAGTAAGTTTGTAGTAAAACACCTATTATAGTAACCTCATGACATTGAAATAAATATTCTAGAAGGTCATTGTTTCAGGACAGCAGCAGGGCATTTTCTGCCCATGGGGTCTCTCTTGAACTTGTTAAAACCAATGCAGCTCTAACTGATAGTTGCTTGTATGTAGCTTCTCTGTACCCTTCTCTGTCACAGTGAGGTGCCTTGGAAGGTGTGACTTTCCAAAATGAGTAGATTGCTAGAAAGCAAGGTGTTGAGCCTGCAAGAACCTTGCAAGATCCTTGGTTTTCTCTTTGGGAGGATAGGGAGTCTCTTCTGAAATGATATATAGAATTGCACTATAAATGCCGAGTTGAGTATAATTATTATTTAAATTATGTTGTACTTCCTGTTTGCAAGAATAAATGTAATAAATATGTATTGGCAAAATACATATGTTCTGCAGGACCCAGAGCAAATGTTGCTTGAGATAGAAATGCTGTTTTCCAAGAAGAAAACTAGATATCCTGAGCTCCTAGGTGATCGCTAGAAATGTTTTTTGCCCTGTACCTGCAAAACTGATAAAGATGTTTAGATGGAACTGCAGAACTTTTAAGAACAATAACATGTATGTTTTAGCTTTAGATAGTTCCCCCTTTTTCTAGGAAATAGTCCTTTTCAGACTTGTGATGTCTCATTGCTGTGGATCTAGCAAAGTTATGTTTTTGACCAGATTTATAATGGCACTGCAAGCAAATGACTGGCAGGGGTGTTAAGGGGACAGTTCTTTCCTGTGATGTTAAACTACCTTAGCAGAGGTCTGGGTATGCTTGTTTAGTGCTGGTGGGTGCTATTCTTCCACTCAAAACAGCTGGGCTGTTATTCTGTCAGATGTTGAATTCAACCCTAATTTAAACTGTGAGCCATTCTAGGAGACTGAACATGTCCTTGTGATTCATGCACTGCTTTTTACTTCTGAACAGCCTTATTGCTGCTTTGGGCAATAAGGAGTCCTGTATCCATGAATGGGAGTTCACTTGAATAAGTCTAATAGTGCATGTAAATCTAGCTGTTTTGATGAGACCCTGAAGAGTACTGTTACTTTACCAGTGAATTGTCACCAACTTAAGTGCTAAGTATTGTGAACTGCTGGCTTAAACTTCCCAAAGAACTTTCTGCATCTTCTTGCTGTGTAGCTGACCGTGCCTGCATCTCTTGCTCATTTGCATCATTTTTCACAATAGAAATCAGCAAGGCCTGAATATCAGGTTGTACGTCAATCCTTTATCCAAGCTGTGTTTCTGCATGGGTTTGGTGGAAGTCCTTGTTGGTAGAAAAAGAACAGTTTTATGCCTGTGTGGCTCTTAGGTTGGCGAAGTTATCGTCAGAAATGATGGCAAAAAACACAGCCACCTGTAGACCAGGATTTAAATAGGCTGCAAGAATATCAGTATTCCAATAGCTGTGGTTAAAAAAACATTTCAAATTGTAATGCACTGTTAAGGTGGTAACATCAGTTAAAGCATTACAGTAGAATTGGCAGGGGGAAGAACCATTATTACATAGCAAAAGAAAGAGCTTCTGGCTTCAAAATGCAGCAGGAGAGAGCAGGACCTGGAAGCTGGCACATTTGTACCATGGAGCAAAGCTTGGTAAAACAAACCACCTTTGTTTTATGGTACCCATTGTGAATGCCTCTCTTTCTGCACGCGTTAGACTTGGTAGCAGGAACGTGTTATCAGGCTTGCTTGAAGGAAACGACTTTTACCAGCTGCTGAAGAATGACCTTCCCATACACAGACCCAGCAGTGGTACGCTCCTCTTATTCTTAGACCGGATTGAGTCCATTCAATACTCTGCAGCTTGTTGAGCTGGCTGAGGTTTCAGTAATGCTGTTGGCTTTCAGTTTGGCAGCCATTCATACCTTCAGAGCAGGACTAAGACAGTGCCTCGTGATTCTAGGGTGCTATGCAGGTAGCAGCTTGAAGTCAGCTCCCCATACTGGGATTTAAACTGGAGATATTTGTTATGGGTATCTCTCCGTGTTGTCCAGCCTTATTCCAAGGTTTCGGACTTAGAGGTCTCTGCGAGGTTGTACTCTTGCTAAATGTTTGTGATATTCCTAACTTGAGGGAGCTTGTGGGTAAAGTGATAAATTAGGCTTCTATGGCAGGGACAGACTGGGGAAGGCTGGTATTGGAAGGCTAAGTACTGAGTTAAACGCATTTCACTTCTAAAGAGTTTAAACTGCGCTGCATTTTAGTATGTCGCTTCGGATGCTGTTACGAAGCTGTTTCTAAGGAAATCTTGAGACGTGTCAGGTGATGAAATGTCTTTGATACTGGCCATGGCAGTTCCCAATGTTCAGACTGTTTCATTGAGTTTTATTTTTATGGGTTTTTCAGTCTTTCCTCTCTTTTCATACTTCCAGGTTTATGCTTGTTTTAGCAAGCAACCAGCCTGAGCAATTTGATTGGGCTATCAATGACCGAATAGATGAAATGGTGAACTTTGATCTGCCCCAGCTAGAAGAACGGGAGCGGCTTGTGAGAATGTATTTTGATAGGCATGTCTTGAAGCCAGCCACAGAGGGTAAACAGTGAGTATCCCTGCAGAACTCTTCCACCCTATAGGATTCTCTTTTTTTAATAGTTTTTCTTCATCTCCTTTTCTGTGCATTCTGTCACACTATCTATAAACCCACTTTAAACAAGTAGTACAGATAAGAGTTGGAGAGATGCCTCTTGCTATCTTGTTACAGGATGAGATGCCATCCTAGAATTTCATGCTATGGTTTGTTGTGCCCTTAAAATTTAGGAGACCAGTTACTGCACTGGAGGCAATAATGCAAGTAGGAAAGCTGTTGGAATTCCTCATATCCAAGCACTTGTCTTTGCTTGGCTTAAGAGGCAAATCGGACCAAGTGACTCGTTTCCTTATGTGCTGTGCAGTCTTGTACTTTTTTGATCTTAATCCAGGTACGCGTGGTTTTTTGTGCCACAAAATCGGGCTTTCTAGGCCCAGGAGAACAACTTCTGTACTCAGGCTGGATCTTTCTACAGAGATTGATCTGATCTGATCTTTCATTTCATTGGAAGTGTTGCTCCTTACAAAGCCTACCTCTGACTCCTTCACCCTCCTGTTCTGTCATGTGGCTGCATGTAAAATAATCCTTGTTCTTCTGCTTTTTAGACGTTTGAAGCTGGCCCAGTTTGACTATGGGAAGAAATGCTCAGAGATTGCCAGGTTGACAGAAGGCATGTCTGGCCGAGAGATCTCTCAGCTTGCTGTGGCATGGCAGGTAAATAGGGCTTTTATCACTGGGCTTCTTTGTTTTGTTTTCCCTTTCTGGAAGGTTTGAGTGTTTGATGTTGGGGTCTCAGATCTTGTCTCGCTTTGGAAGTTTCATTATGTCCATACGGTAGTGCTAGAACGCTGCTAGCTCTGGGGTGGGTGTGAGAATATCAGCATAATTCCTCATCTCATAAAATAGCAACAGTTTTTATAATCATTAATGGGAAATCCCTTACTGAATTTAAGTAAAGCGACTGAGTTAGGAATGGGTTTTAGCAAATCATGCTGGTCATTACTCATGTTCCAGCTCAAGAAACTCAGTAAAAGAGATACCTAATGTTTTTGCCCACAGGTATGATAGCATTAGGACACTATAACATCCTACTGCCCTACTTTGTTCTGAACGCATTTTTAGTGCAACTTGAGTAATTGAAGGAATAAAACTAACTGGAAAATGAAGCTGAAAAGACTAGGTACTTCTACATGCATGGTACCTATGTAGAAATAAGAAATGCGATCACTTTGAGTGCACTTGTTCACATGCTTGACAACCTTAAGCACTTTTTTTTTTAATCAGGCTTTCACCTTGTTTTGTCACAGCTGCCAGTTTCTTACTGGATTGTGTATTTTTATAAACTAGTAATATAAATTTAAGGAATATGCTCCAAATTTTGTGTCATATAACTTAATAACGTCAGCTTCCTTTCAGGTATTGTAAAGAGAAAGTTGGAGATGTTTTAATATTTTTTTTAGCAGTTCACAAACATTTTACAAAGTTTGTGTATTTCATTTCTGATTCTACTGTTTTTCTACCTTTTAAGGTACAGTAAGTATTTATCTTTCTAAGCCATTTAACTGCAGTAGTCATGAGCTGAGGTCCAAATCAGCCATCTGAGTGCTATTAGTTCTTATCTTATTCTTTGTATGTTAGCACACAGCTGGTGAATTTTACTATGTGAATTTTGTATTATTGAAACATATTTCAAAATGTGTGCTGTCATCTGAAAATGTATATAAAGCTTTATTTACTTTTAATTTGTTTCTCTTCTGTAACTGCCTGAAAACATACCAGATTAGTGTTGTTACCAGTTCAGTCAAGAAGCTTAGCAAGATGCTTGACAAGTAATTGAGATTCAGAGCAAGGTCCTGCATATTGATGGGTGTTAGGTGGACTACCATGGTGTCCAATTAGCATGTGTTCAGACACCATTCTGGAGAGCTGACAGGTGGCAAGAAGGACCAGAATCTTGGGCCATTCTGCCTTTCACAGAGCCAGTAGATCATGGCTGCGCTTTTTCCAAGTACAGCTATGCTTTTTGTGGGCTTCTGATTTTGAAACTCAGGATAAAGACCTAGGGTGTTTGTCTTAAACTGAGTGACGGTGATGTGGGAGAGAAAGCAGACCACTAATTGTTGTAGAATTTCTTTATTTCTCTCCATTTAGAAGAGACCCCCTTATCCATGTATGTGAAAGGCTTTGCTGCCAGGCATTTCCTGTAATAAAAAGTTGTGATAAATGATCCTTTGCTTTTTATCACCCCTTATCTCCTAGCTTGTCATTACTCCCTGGGAATGACCTCAGCTTTTATCACTTATCTTTTAAGTAATCTTGAAGGAAGGGAAAGGTGTGTGTGGGGGGGGGTGTGACTAATTCCTTAGTGTTGTTGCTCTGATCACTTTTTAAAATGTACCTCATAGTGCCAGAACCATAAACAAGGTTCTATGTAAAATTGCAGCAGGAGGTTATGTTCCTCTCTGCTGTCAGAAAACAGTCCACTAGCAGGTTTGTGAGGGCATCCTAAAAGGGGTAAGATTTCTGTATTAAACACTGCCCTGGGAGCTGCTGCCAGAGTTGTTGATCCTAAGTGCTACAGTAGGGTTCTTTTTCAGTCATTGCGTCAAGGAATTTAGAGCTGTAACTGACTGGAACTTGACTAGAGCTTTACAGAAGGCTGCACTTATGCCAGGTTTGGCCCACTGACTTTTGACTGTGGCAAGACTTGTTAACACCTGCCTTTGTTTTTGCTATGTAAAGTATCAAGGGTATGGCACTTTGGTAGCTGTGGTTAAAAGCCTTGCTGTAAGCAGATGTTTTAAGTATTCTTGATGCAAGTTGATCTCTTGAATGGTATCTGTATTTTGGGGCCTGGGTCAGTGCTAACAGATTGCTTGTTACAGGTAGCTTTGTAGCTGATACAATGCTGTCTTCTATCAGAGAAGGATTAAAGCTGCGGTTTTACAAGCATTTCTGGCAGCATTAGTCCTGCTTCATATTCCTGCCTTTCTGCTATCCATCCCATTGCACTGGTACATCTCTTTGTATGGCTGTAGTATGAACTGGGTCAGGGAGCTGATCAGAATTAAAAATAGCTTGGCAAGACAAGTTAACTGCATAGCTACACCGTTGTCCTGGCACATCTGAGAGAGTGGATCAGGGTAGGTAGGGGCTATATGAACCAGCATAACTGGCTCAAGAAAATGCTTATCAGACTTCCCTCAGTTGGATGCAACAGCTGTATGGTGGTTATATACTACAGATAGGACTGTTAACTCTTGAACTGTTGGTCTTTTAAACTCCTGTATGACTGAACTTTTGATTCAAGATGCTGCATGCCAAAGATGGCTGATGAGGGAAATAACCTGATGCGAGCAGCACCTTTATGAACACACACTTGAATTTTAACCAGTTTGCAAGCTATACTTTTGTCCGCCTTGATGTATGGAGCTATAAGGAATCTACAAAAGTGCTTAACCTGAGGATTTAGGGAGACTCTTGTGTGACTGTAGTTAAGGTGAACATCTGGACTTCCTACTCAGTTCCCTACTTGCAGTTGCTTCCCCGCCCCCCCCAACCCCTCTTCATCCAAAGCATTATTTCAAGTTAACAACGCAGGCAGGAAGAGTGTGAGATGATGTACAAGTTGAGAAGATGAAGGGCAGGAAGAGCCAAGAAAAGGGAAGAACAAGGTATCTTTCTTAACAGTTCTGTTTCTGATCTTATTAACACCTTACAGAGCTGGTAAACAGCAGATGTCGTGAGCCTAGTGCTCTTTAGAAGTCCTCAAAGCAGACTTGAGACAACTATGTCTCAAGACGTTTAAGCTTCCAACACTTTTCTAGATAGGCTTATCACAACAGCTGCTGAAATGCACTATGCCTAAGGTCTCTGTTTAACAAATAAATTCAGTTGACCCATTCTGGGGAAGATTACAGCAGAAAGCCCCAGTGAAAACTGCTCGTTGTGAATGCTGGAGCACAGAGCTGGGTGGGAGCATTTTGTTTGCCTTTTGCTTTCAGCTTTTTTGCATAGTGCCCTGATGTGACTTGGAGCTAATCCTCAAAGTGTAGACTTAATTGCAACATACCTGTCACTTATTTCACCTCAGCTTTTGATATATATATTCTCTTAATTAGTTTATTCCCCCAACAGTCATTTGCAGTGTTGCTGTCTGTATGCATTATACCTCTGTAGACATATCTTGGAACAAACTTCAGCCAGTGTCTGGACAATGGAGACAAATGCAGAGGGAGCAGAATGGCAGTCTTAATCTATGGTGAAGTGTTGCCCTGTTCCACAGGGTCTATGCTACTACTTCAGGCTGACTGAAGCCTTGTTGCTTGCAATTCTGGTCCTAACCTCTGTGATGAAACCTAATCAAATCACCCATGTAGCACAGGTAGTACTAGGAAAGGCAGTGAGGAATCTGCATTGTTATTCCTGTTTCCATTCCTGAATCTGCAGAAGTGCTGGAGGAAATGAACAGAGAGCACAGGAAGGTATTTATCATGGACTTGATGGAGTTTCGAGATGCTAGGATGCTCATCAGCTCTACTTAGCTTGTCTGGGGTCATCTCTTATGGCCAGAACTGAACCTCAGAGATGGTTTGGGGAAAAGTGAAGTTCTGAAGCAGTAGGAGGAGAAACTATCATAGCTATCGGCTTTTGCTGAGAGTAACCTAGAACAACAGCATATGGCCACTCTGCTGTCCCGTGGCCTCACAGTCATTTCCCATGAAGATGTTTTTGGTGTGCTCTGCCAAAATTGCTTTTAACAAAAACATCTCTGTTAAACTAGAAGCCTGAGCAATAGCTGCAGCTTTCATAGGCTTAACTCCACTGTAAGCTGGGCTTGAAATTGATTGACTGTCATTTACATGAAGTTCTAGTTCACTGTTGTTTCAGTCTGGCTCAGTTTGTCCTGAATTTACCAAACAGAAAAAAAGATGCAGAAAAGCAGAGGGTGTAACCTCTAGTGCTGGGAAATATATTGCTGTCTGGCACAGCTAATAGTCTGCATGCTAGAAATCCATTTTAATCTCTTCTGCAGAAGACTGAGCATTGCCTTTTGTCCTTGTGCTTTTCCATTCCCCATATCTAATCCTTTGTGAGTATAGTATGGATTAGATGCATTTACACACTTAAAAATTCCCTTCAGATCTGTTTATAGTAATGTGCAGACTTTCTAATTCTGCACCCTGTACTTAAACCCATTGATATGCTTTAGATAAAATGTCAGAAAAGCAACCTTTCACTATTCCAAGCTGTAATCTCTGGAAAATTGTTCTGGCAACACTTCAAGAGAATTCCCAGCAGTTTTATGTCCCAGTGTTAACGATAGAGGTGAGCTTCCTGTCACTTCCTTGCCTTGTGTGCCACAGACATAAATGCCTTTTTGTTCCCTGAACCTTGTTTATATTTAAAAAATAAAAACCTGACCAACTTATGGGAAGAATTTAATGTTTCTATAGTGGTCTGAGCTGAAGGAACATTATAAGTAAGTGTGGAGGAGCCCGGGAGGTGCTTGTATTTTGGGGGTCTTTTTTGAGCAGACTGTTTGCACTATAAATGTGATTCAAAGGATATGGATTAATTTGGCCAAGTTAAAATAAACCAGGGTTCTTGGCTGAAATGAACCATTAGGTCATCTAGGCTGGACTTGTCATCTGTGCTTCATCCCTCCACTTCCTCCCCACATACTTTGCTTTCAGATTATTTCATAATTGGATTTGAGTTATAAAACATGAATAGTTGCGCTGGGGAAAATGGGTTAAAATTTGTCCATGCAGAAGGTAGAGGTATGAATATAAATGAAGCTCAGTACCATTTTTGTGTGTGTGCAAGCTACTCCCAGAAGGGACAGCTGCTTCTCCCATTTGCTTTCTTGACAGCTAGGGCCTGAGGCTTTCTATAAATAGAAAGTCATTGAGAAAATCAACAGAGCGTGAACTGCACAGCTTTGCAGGAGTTTCCACAGTTGAATTTATGGTCTATGCAGTGGCAGGGAGGAAGGGAAGACATCCTCTCTATTCTGTGGAGGCACATAACACACATCCCAGGAAAACACTTACTCCATTTTAAAACACTAAATCCTCCTGGCTGGAGGGCTGCATTGACAAAAGGGTGCTGGCTTCTTTTAGCTTTAAGTCCCCAGTCATGTCCTGAAAAAAAAAAAAAAAAAAAAAGGGAGGAGGGCATGTTATGGAGGTGAGTCGGAGAGGATGCTTCAACTGAACAGAACCTCTCCATCATGCCCCTTTTACAGTGGTGAGAGAATACAGGTCATGTTGTGATATGCGTTGTATAAATATTTGTGGCAGCAGGCAGGTTTTGGAAACGGTGCTCTTCTGGTGTTTGTGGGAAGTAACTGCCTCGTGTCCAGGATGCCTCCTGTCCTGTTGTTGAACACAGAGGACAAGTGCCTTTATGCAAAGTGAATTTTCTATTTGCGGACCTTCTATTTCTCCGCACTTCTTGCCTGCGGCCAGTGTTTACTCCTAACTTGAAGTACGAGCATTAGCCTAACTTGTCACTTCTGCCTTAAGGAAGGATTACAAAGGTTTTGCACAGGGAAAGATCTGTTTTGATGCTTCTTGCAGTAAAAACCAGTGCCTGCCAGCTCTATAGTTAAATGTGGCTTGTGCAGTGAGACCTCTTGTGATCTAACCAGTTCCCCAAAGAGGGCTGGCAAGTAGGCTAGGGGAGGCTGAAAACCAGCTTGGGTAACCTTTTGCTCATTTCTTGAAATTATTACTGCTACCTCACTGCAGAAGGAATAATCTAATAAGCAGGTATAATCTACTGTACTTACTGCACTGGGCTAGTCAGTACTGTGATGATAATGACCAGTGCAACAACTTACTTTGGGGTTTGTCTTCTCTCCCATCTACATCGTTGGACAGTGGGTGTATAAAATGGTCAACTGTAATTTCTTTCTGTGGTGCTTTTGCAGTAAACTTCGTTGCTTGGTATAACTGATGTTTTGGACCATTAATGATTTATAGAGCCTGTATGTAATACCTTAGACTGTAATACCTTCAGCTTGTCTGGGATCTTGGGGAACACCCTGCAGACAGAAGGGTTGGCATGTGACAATCCATGGTGTGATAGCTCTGTGGAAGGAGAGAGATGTGGACAGAAATTTGGGGCTATTTGGGGCAGGCAGCATGGATGTGAGAAGCTGGAGGGGGTTTCCACCATGACCGGTCTTAAGCTCCCTTGCTAGCATAGCTATACAAGGAACCACAGTACTGAGTCGCTTGCAGGAGCACTTGCATAGGGAGTAACCAGATTTAGAAATCTGTAGCTTGGGGTTGCTTTGTTACCTTGGAGATGGGTACAGCTAACAGCATAAGCATCCTTCCCTTCCTTGGAGGGTACAGCTGCTTGTGTTGTCATCTGCAAAATGTCCATCACTGGAGGCCTAGCTGTCCTGCATGTTTGGACAAAAGTGACAATATTTTGCTGCAGCTGGAGAGAAATGGCACGCAGTCCTGTTTCCCCTAAGCTGCCACTGGAAGTATTGTGGGCTGTTTGGCAAGGATGTCAGGAGTTTTCAGCCCTTTCTGCAAGGAACTATGATCAAATCTACACTGCCTGTTGAAGTAGCAACAGGACAAAGTGTGAATTTACCAAGCAGAATTGGAGAGACAGGAGTTGGTGTACAAATGGAGGCAGGGAGAAAAGGGGAGGTCCCATGGGCAGATGAGTATGGGGTGGGAGCTGACACAGCGCAGAGGTGGTGCAGGGGAGGTTCCTAGCAGAACCCATGAGGAAAGCAAGATTAGTGCACATTAGACATCATTTTAGAGGTGCCACATTGCCCATACTCACCCTAGCAGTGATGTTAGTTCTCTTTGTAAGTGTTTAAAACGTTTTCTATTGTCTGGGATGGAGTCATTCAATCACCATATGCACCTATTACTCTTTACCTTATTGGCTTCATATGTGCAGTGCTTTTAAAGCAGGAGAGGAAATTTAAACAAGCCAAGTGTGACTGCAGCCTAACCATACTGGCTATGTTCAGCATTATGAACCTGTGGCCTTGTCTCTTCTGAATGAAAAGATCTTGCCTCCCAGGAAATCCAGAGGCAGGTAGGTGAAGGTGCTTGTTAGTAGCTCAGAGACAAAGACTTTAGTGTAGCTGTGAATGTTTCTGTGTGCTTGGGCAGTTGATGTATTTCAGTCCCTGGTACAGCTGCATCAAGAAAAACCTTTCTGATGGTGATATGCCAGGTTGTTCTGAGTACCACCACTGACTTAGAACAAGACTGGATGTTGTGCTAGGTAGTGGGAGGGGCAAACATGCATGGAGAAGAAAACGGGAGAGAGGGACCAGTCTCAGATCTTCACTGATCCTAGGAATTGCCATCACTAACTTGTCTCTTCTGCCTTTGCCCCTCCAGGCTGCAGCTTATGCATCAGAGGACGGTGTTCTTACAGAGGCCATGATTGATGCTCGGGTAGCTGATGCTGTGCAGCAACACAAACAGAAGATGGAGTGGCTGAAAACAGAGGGTGCTGAAGCAAGCAAAGGGACTGGCAGAAACCCACTCCTGCCTTTCACCAAAGGAACACCAGTGTGAGAAGCCTGCAGGCTTCAGACCAGCATGTGTGGGGAAGTGGGCATGGGAGAAATCCGGGAGGGTCTTCTGGGCCAATGTTTGGTGGAATCATGTGTTGTGAGAAATGTGTCCATTTGTCCAAGGGAAGGGGGTACTCCCTCAGTCTGCCTTTGATTTTATGTTTTTAAAGCACACCAGAGAACAAAATGGTTTAAATGAGGCAGAAGCAACTGTATTAAAGGACCCCCTTGCTGAAATACCATTGACTGTGTTAGTCTGTATGGCCTGGCCTGCTAGAGGGGCCCAAACTCCAAATTCTTTTCAGCCATTTGACACTGTTCCGGAGTGTCCCAGTGACATGGGCCTGTGGGAACCCAGGGCCCGTCCAAGCCTGCTGCTCCCATATATCTAACTTTGTCGGGTTCATGCTCCACCAGAGGTATTTCTCATCATTTTCCCACAGATCCTGCCCACGACATACCTCCTTCCTCACGTCTCTGTATGGCATCACTCCTTGCCCTCTTGTTGTCACCCCTGCACAGACTCAGCGTAGACTTTGTGTTACAGAGGTGTATTTGGTGTGGTTCACAGCTGTACCTGGTTAACTTGGAGTCAACACTTAGGAGAAACTACAACTGTGCAGTGGGTTGCTTATAAGCACTGGGACTCTCCTTGTGATGTAGCTACACCTGCTCGTGCCTGGCTGCTGCCTTTTGTTGTCTTTGTGCTTGGGTCTCCTGGAGAATGGCTGTAGAGCTGGCCTGCAGCAGTGCACTGCAAGGGACTAAAAGCTCTGGAGCATGACTCCTCAGTGCTGAAGTGCGAAGTGTTCCTTCCAAGCCTGAGAGCTTTTATGCCCCTCCAGTGTAGCATTGTAGAATAACCGCACACACTCCCTGGATCACAAAAGGTTATCTGAACTGCAGTGGAGCAACTGGCACTTCCTACAGCACAGTCTTGAAAGCACTGCTCATGATGCAAGGTAGCCCTTCAGACACTGCTGAGCTGCAGCAGGAACCGCTGCTTCCCAGGTTCTGATGTGTCTATTCTGACTACACAGCCCACAATGCTTTGTTGGCTTTCTCCAGCCAGGTACTTGCTGCTGCAGCTAGTCTGAGAGCAGCCCTAGATTATTTTTTTTTTCTCCCCCTAAGTAAGTCATCTCTCTCTTTAAGGAGGTGAGTAGCAAGGCTCAGTAAGTCTGTCTGGCGTACAGGTGTCCAGCATGGTCTGAAGAGAGAGAGGAGTGGGGCTTTTTTACTACTGGCTGCCTGCCATCAAGCTGCTCTTGCTACATGGGTCTTCTGCTGCATTTCTGGAACAACTGAGAAATGTGCCATTGTCAAGTCGTGAACACAAGCCTGTCTCGATCAGATGACATTTGTTCTATCTGTGTGCATACAAGAGACAGGTCAGAAAAATCTCTTGATTTTTTTTTTTCTGAGTTTGAACTGGATTTGAACTCTGTGCTCTGCTCCCAGTCCCCTTCTGGAACTACACTATGCAAGCATATTTGCCTGACCTAAATCTGTGCCCTTGAGTACCTTGCTGAGATGTTCTTCTCTGACAGGAACTGACAGCAATCTCTGCTTTGTCCATTTCACTGGTGGTTGTTACGGAGTTTTGAGAGATGCACCCTGACAAGAGCTTGTGAGCATGGGAGCAGAACAGGGCTGGTCACCAGGGTCCTCGGAACAGGCAGCCTTGTGGCACATCAGGAAAGAAATAGTTCTTGAGGCTGCAAACTTTCACTGTCTTGGGCTGCCATCTTCTCTCAAAGTAGTTCTCTTGATATTTTCCCCTGGATGCCAAGGGAGAATTTGAAGATGCATTTTAGAAGCTGCTCCTTTGTTAAGGACAGGTGTCCCACAGCAGTAGTGCATGCCCAGGCTTGCATGCCCCACTAACACTTAACTTGTTGCAAGGCACGTTGCTGTGGGAAGCATGCTGCAGAGGAAAGGGAGGAATCACTGTATAAACTGAAACTGCATACTTTATATTCTGAAGGACTGAACTAAACTTGAATGCCATTTTTTTTTCCCCTCCCCTTCAGCCTAGGTGGAGTTGTCCTTTAGTCCACTGACTTACTAGAGGATTAGCTATTCTAGGCTTTCCCCTTCCTATTTAGATTTTACTAGAGTTTTCTTTCTGTTAAGCCCCAAGAGTTGGAAGGTACCTAAGCAGAGCCACTCTGCTAAAAGAAACTTGCTAATGAATTGCATGAGGGAGCAGTCTGAAATTGTGTGATTAAAATCTCTCATTGTGACACACCTTCAGTACTTTTCCCCTCTCTTCCATAATCATCTCCGTAAAGCACAAAAGGAGTTGGTTGCGGGGGGAAAGGTACTCTGTCTTGTCCTTATGCTGTCTGACTGCGCTTTTGCTGATGCTGATAGCTGGGAAGAGAATCCTGCTGTAAAGCTCTGTGAAAGGCACAGCAGTTGCTGTCTCAGCTGTTTCATGCGATTCCTCCTTTGGATTGCATCAGGTCCCTACATGGAAGCAGAGCGAGCACAGTGCTTGTAATGCAGCTATGATCCATGCTTCTGCGCTGTGCAACAGTGATTAATTGCAGGTTCGGGAGATCAATTAGCTAGAAGTAGCCTCTTGCTGTGGCAGGGAAGACAGCAGGAGGCATAGGCTGACCTAAGGGTTCTCAGGTTTGCCTGAGTATAGAAGTACTTTCCAGTGAGTTTTTAAGGGCTTTTAATGACCACTCTTAACAATAGATACCACTGGTCCTCACCTGAGCTTTTTTTGCCTGGGCTTCATGTGGATGGAAAGGACTGTCTGTCTTGAAGATGGACACATGGGTGCTTTTGACAAGACGCAGGTGCCTTAGCGTTTCTGGTGTGTATTGAGACATCGCTCTGGTGTGACTCGCTAGCTGGTGCTGCTTGTATCCCAAGGGGCAAAGTTCCTTCCCCTTCTTAGGCAGCCTGGAAGATGATGCTCTCTCTACTAAATGAAGTCTGTTTTCTTTAGTTTATTTTCCTTTAAGAGGTGGGAGAGGGGTAAGTAGAGCCATTTCTATACTTTATACTGGGAACTTAGTCCTAGGAACAGCGCTCTTCAATATACAGAACTTCTGTGTGTCTCAACCTCGCTTCACCATCAAAAATCCACAAACAATCAGCTGGTCAGAGCTTTGCACATCTGCCATGCTTTGTGAGCAACGTGTTGCAGGCTCTTGTGCAACCCTGGTGCTAGTTGAAAACCCAGGAGCGGAGCACTTCAGGACTCACTTGTTTTCTTCTCTCTGTTCACAATCTCCCTCCACAGCCCCTGCCTGGTAGATCGTGACAGTATCTGTGTGTCTGAAATTCACAGTGAGTTCTCCTCTTCCTTTCCAGAGAAGCTTGTGGCTCTGGGCAGAGCAGGCATGTCCCCCAGTCCCCTTCTGAGAGAACCCTAGTAATACAATGTCAGAAAGTCCACAATCGCTTCTACCCTTGGCAGCAGAAGGACTGTTTACACCCAGTCCAGTAGTTTGGATTCAGCGAGAGTTTGATAAATGCTGTATGATGGATGTTTTACTTCCCACCTGTGAAGAAGAGAAGGAGGTGGCACCTAGGCTGGGAAAAACTGAGGAGGTGGAACAGAAAAGCCAGAGATGAGCCTGATTCAAGAGGGTTGAGGAGACTTGGGGTGCTACATCTGTCAGGTAAGGTGGGTAAGGAGTGGCAGCAGTGGTGAGGACAACTTGTTTTGCTTGGGTCCAATCTTCCAACCCAGTTGCTTTCATCTCTTCCTGCTGCATTGAAAGAATGGCATGGGTTTCCACTTGTACAAGCTGATGCTATTTGCTCTTCCCCTGAGAGTGTTTTGGGAGCTGGTGGGGTAGGTTCCAGGCAAATGATCCCATGGTTTGAGCTCAACATCCTTGTGTTCTGGTTACTGGCACGGGGAATGCTGGAAACACGGGTAGCTGATGCACTGCAGTTCTGCACCTGGTCAGCCTTAGCGCAGCCTGGAACAACTGTAGCCATCAGGCTTGAAAGTGTTGCTTTTTTCAGTGTTGACACTGCATTTTTTATTTCCACAGGAAATAAAGTTCTCCATCCATTCTCTCACACTTGCAGGCTACTCTTCCTTCCTTCACATCATGTGCCGTGGGCTGTTGGACTGATGAAGCCAGCTCTCTCAGTGCATCTCAGGCACTATTGCTACCAGCTCTCTAAATCCTGCCTTTGAAAAGAGATTCCTTGTCCCTCTTGCAATGCACGTTGCTCCTAGCCACCAGCTAGGTGATTTCATGCCCTACCGCCTGCTGAATAGCTGTGCCAGTTGCTGTCACTGCTGCTGCTCATGTGGAATGCAACAGGAAAGGAGAAAAAAGGCCACCTGTCATTGTGCAACTCCTGCCTCATCAAAGATTTAAATGCAGGGCCTCTGCCACCTCTGCCAGCCTCATCAGTAAGTTTAGTTTGCTGTCAGCTCACAGGATGAATGATATCCCTGTGGAGGTGGCACCCAGCTAGCTATTTGTTAACACTCCATGCAGGGATACAGGATGGCAACCCCAGGCTGAGGTTATCTCCTCTCTATGACACTGAGTGAGTTATGAGCTAATAGCACTTTATTAAAATAGTATTTTTTATTGGAGAGCAAATCTAAGAGCAGATGGATTAGCAAGCAATCCATCACTCCCCAGCTTTGCCACTGCCAGCTGAAACGCCTTCTCTGTGCTTCAGCGTTGCAGCTGGGAGACAGATTTATAATGTGGTCATCTATCTATTCTCAGCTGCCATCCATAAAAGTATTTATTTTTGAACGTGATACGCTGGGAGGAAAGTTCCATTGTGCAAGTACAAGGATACGAGTGCTGCGCACTTTCTCACCAGCGCATGTCCCACGCTGTAGGACTTATGGGAGACAGGAGTCTCCCCAGGAAGTATTTCCCTGCCAACTTGTGTTTTGAATGGAGAAGCAGCACTCAGATTCTTTTATAATCCATTGTCTGTGGCTGTCTCCGTTTTATCGCAACATTATTATTCTCCCTATATGTTTTTTAAAAAAAAAAATCTGATTCATTTGCCCAGCCTGTAATGCAAGTCACTGGCCTGCCCTGGGAAGCCTTGCTGCTCCAGGAGGTTCTTTGCTTATGGAAGGCAGCCCATCGTCTGCCGCCGCTGAGTGCTGTTGGCACATGGATATAAGTAATGGGGATCTGTTGGAGGGATCCTGACAAAAACATGCCAGAGTTTGCAGCTTCCTGGGGGCGGTTTGTCCCTACGTTCACCTGGCGTGCAACCTGCCAGGTCTGCGTTTTCCCTGCGAGGGGGTTCTCCTCTCTTGGGCCTGGCTTACAGTCACGCACAGCCCTTTGGTGTCAGTGCAGCTCAAAGGCCTAGACACGCAAAAGCACCACAAAAGAAACCAAAACAAACACAGGAGATTGTACATAGCAAACCCATCTGCAAGTGAAGAGCTGGAGGGTAATGTGGCTGCAACAAGAGTAGGGATGACTAGTCACCCCTGCACAAGGGGGGTGTTGTAGCAGCAAATGGGCATGCGTGAGCAGTCCAGCTGCTGTGTCAGCTTTTGGCAGATAATGCAGATGTGGTCCTGGGGTATCCTGAGAGGCAGCACAACTGTAACTGCATCACTTGGGGAGCAAGGAGCTAGGATCTAATTTGAGGGCTCATTGTAAGTCAGCTGTCCCACAAGAATTTCACAAGCCAAAAACGACAATAGAAAAACCTTTCTCTAACGGTTGCCTCTCCACCCTGCTTCTCTTGCAATCTCCAGGCCATTCATGATGTGCATCCCTTAGTCAATGCTTTCACAGACTCCTGGTGCTCTGCTGGACCTTGTGATTCAGTCAGCATCTCTCCCACTGACATCAACCACTCAGGCATTGGGATAAGGCAAAGTTTGCCCACCTGAGCTGCGGTAGAAGAGGAACCAAAGGACTTTGATCAACTGGATACTCAGTAAGTGCCACCAGGCTGCTTTACTCATCATCTTTTCCAACCAAGCACCGACAGCAGAGATTGAGTGCCTGGTGAAGGACAGGTATGGGTCAGATCCTCCTTTGAATGACCTGGGACAGTGTATCCTTGCTGGCTGGTTTTCCTTCTCTTTCCCCTGATTCCTTGAGGTAGCACAGCCTTACCAAATCTTGGTCATATCTTCTGATACATAGCATCTCCTGGAACAAAGCTCTAGCAGCATTACTAGGCTACATGACATTATTTTTGTAAGATGTGCAAAGGGGAGCAGCGCGTGGCTAGCTCAGAGAAGTCCTCAGGCAGTCCTCCAGCTCTTGCCCTAACTAATTGTTCTCACCTCAAGAAAAATCAGATCACCTGTCTCTGTTGCTGGCCATTTTTCACCCCCAGACACAGTTTGAGATGCCAGTGCTGCAACTATCAGTCAGTTCCATGACAACAGCTCCCTGCCTTGCTGCCTCGGTGGTTTTTCCTCTCTCTCCTGCTCCTACAGGCTGTGGGTTTTATTCTCGTTGTGGGGATTTCTTTGCTTGGGTGTTGGGGTTTTTTTTATTGCTGCTCTGCTTTCACGTAGTGTCTCCACCAAGCCTGAGTAAGATGTGCCCAGATTTGCCCAGACTTGTAGAACAACTTGTGCATCAGCATCTTTGCACATAAAGACTGAAGTCCCACTCAGTGTCAGACTTGCTCTGTTTGTGTATGTGTGGTCCTGTTCTAGGACAGAAAAGAGCAGAATGAAGAATGTTAAAGGACTGGCTCACGGTGTCAGATTTTGGTACTGCTAGAATGGGAAATGAGCACGCCTCTCCTTGCCTGCGCCAAAGCCCTCGGTTGCCTGCACCCTGCCTTTCTTGCTTGCCCTTGCAGGCAGTAGGCAAGAGAGGCCCACACTCCTCTCTGGATTTGGTTTTAACAGTAAAATATTTATCTTCTTTTAAAATCAGTTCGGGGCCTTAGTGCTTCTCTGTGTTCCCAGTGAGTGGGAGACAAGCAGGCTAAAATCTGGGACAGCGTCCTATGATGTCACATAACCCGGGGGAAATTGCACAGCCCTTCTTCATAGATCAAGGCTGGGCACGGCTTTTTCCCACACCATTCAAGCCGTGTTTGTACCTCCTCCTCCTCTCTTAAACCCCTGATCCTAAGCTGGTGACCTGCTAGTCTGCGGTGCCCCTAGCAGACCTCCAGCCTCTGATGCCAGGAGTATCATTCGGTTCAAAGGGTTGGAAAAAACACTCGGATGCAAAACATGCAAAAAACTATTTTACTGACAAACAGCAAAGGACGGGCTTAGTTTCAGGAGCTGAACTGGTTATCTATTATACAAACATATTATTGAAAGGGAAGGAATGGCTGAAATACACTCACTCATTGACCCAAATAAAATCACAGTGTGCTTTTTCTATTGCCTCCCCCACCCTCAAGCTCTCTGCGGCCTTCAGCTGCTCCCCTTAGCTTCAGCACAACATTGTCACCACTCCCAGCATGGCCGCTGGAGAACACAGACTGTAAGTGACATTTGCCTGTGCAAGTGTATTTAATAAAAAAATTAGCCATTATTGCTTTTCAACCACAGTAGAGATTATTCTATGATTAGACTCAGAGCGGAGTATAATCTCTCTCTCTCTGTTATTATCAACACGTGTTGTACCTCTTCCTGTCTGATGCATGCAAAATTGGTTTGAGTGCAGAAAAAAGAAAAGAAGGATTAACAATCAGGGAAAAGAGCACTCCAAGTTTTGTTCTTGTATTCTCACTGCAGAGTACTATTGAAAAAAAATCTTCCTAAACTGTGTGCTCTGTCCTGCAAGGGTTTCCACTGGCTTAGTCGTTGTGAGCTGAGGGTGCTTAGTGCCTTGCAGGATTGAGCCATCCTTCTGGTGGAAATCCCAGGGCTCAGCTTGAAGAGGGCACTAAAACTAGCAACCCCATTGGAAAAGAAAGAGTGCAAATGAATGGGAGGTACTAAAGAAGAGGAATAGGCTTCATGCAGTGAACACATGATGACACACACAGATATAAACACACAGACACACACCGACACACACACACAAAACTGGAACAGTATCCTGAGAGCCTAGCCAGGATGCAGCAAACTGGCAGCCCAGCCTCACTGTAGAGCTCCTCCTTATACCTGCCTACATTTTCCTATTCCTCTGCTTCCTTCTCTTTTACCCCCACAGCCCACATGCATGGAGGTTGTAGGCCTGGCTTGTTTTGGTCTGTTTGTTTGGGTTTTTTTTCCCTCCAGTAAATTCACTTGCTGCTTCATGCCCTCCTGGGCACCACAGTGAGCTGGGCTGGTCTAAGAGGACCATGTCATCTTCACTCCACCCAAAGGTAGAACCAGCAGTCCTGTGTCCCTGCCTAACAGATAATGCCCTGTCTGTCCCCTACTTTACATCCCATTGCCTGTCACTGAAACATACATCTGTTTCACCAGTGTAGCCAGGTTCAAAGCAGTTGATCCGAATGTCTTTCTATTTGTACTGTATGCTCTGGTAATAGAAGTATTTTTATTCTTTTACATCCAGAGGTGCTCTGGGAGCTTCTGTTGGCTATTTCTACCTTCAAAGACCCCTGAATGCAGAAGAGGCCTTCGTCACCTCCATGTTCACCCGCACACGCTCTTCATCAATGCCATACTGAATGTTAAACTGCTGCTGTGAAGCTATCTCGAAGAGAAATTTGAAGTGAGACTGAGGCTCCCTGTGTCCTTTATCGCCTGCAAGCCTCTAGCCTTCATACAAAGGACGGTGAAGGGTGAACACTGACCTCCCTTTTCCAGGGGAGCCAGTACACGTGAAATGTTTTCTTCACAATGTGCTTTCTCCTGAGCTGGGGAATAACCTTGGATCAGGATTTCCCTTGTTGGCTCCCCCAGGGCTTCCTCCTGCCTCGGCTTGCCTAGACCTTATCTAAGGTAAGCAGAAGCTATTGATGTTTGTGTTTGCACTGCCTGCTGCGGTCTTGAAGTACCAACTCTTGGTGTCTTGCAAAGCCAGCGGGCTTCAGCTGACCTGACACCATTTGCATAGCATTTTTTATTTTTCACAGAACAGTTGAGGTTGGAAGGGGCCTCTGGAGTTCATCTGGTCCAACCTCCTTGCTCAAGCGTGGCTACCTAGAGCAGGCTGCCCAAGACCACGTCCAGCTGGCTTTTGACTATCTCCAAGGATGGAGGCTCCACAACTTCTCTGGCAACCTGTCCCAGTGCTTGGTCACCCTTACAGTAAAAAAGTGTTTGCTGATGTTCAAGCAGAACCTCCTGTGTTTCAGTTTGTGCCCATTGCCTCCGGTCCCGTCACTGGCCACCGCTGCAAAGAGCCTGGCTCCATCTTCTTTGCACCATTCCTTCAGGTATTTATATACATTGACCCCCCTGAGCTTTCTCTTCTCTAGGCTGAATAGTCCCAGCTCTCTCAGCCTTTCCTCACAGGAGAGATGCTCCAGTCCCTTAATCATCTTAGTGGCTCTTTTTAGTACCCCTTTTTATCAGGGATTCTCTTTTCCCAGCTGAGTGCAACTGGAAAATGAGGTAGAGAGTAGCAGTGAGAGTAACTAAAACCACTCTACTGTGCTGTGAATGCCTGGGACCTGCATTTTGGGCTCTCTTCTGGTCTTTTACTGTTTATTGATAGGTGCTGCCAGATACTTCAGCCAGGATGGGCCGGCTGATGTGTCCCTGGCTGGCTCAAGGGCTAGCTGAGAAATAACAGGGCATGGTAGATGGATGGATGGCTGGTATCACAGGAGACACCTTCCCAAACTGTTCCTCAAAGGGGAAGGGTCCTTCTCATTGTGTCAGAGCAGCAGGCTGAAGAAGGCATGCATAGTACCTGGGTCTACTCTGGGCTACGCTTGAAATCCCATGTGTGGTGGCTTTGGGCCCTTCCTTTTCTCTCATTCCTGAAGCAATATGCAACTCTGCTAGCCCCTCCCCGGCACGGCACTTCTTACACCTACGGTGAATTTGGCATCCCGTCACTTCTTCCTTCCCCACGTCCATTTGAGCCACTGAATGTGGCAGAATGACAGATGCCAGATAGGAAGCAAAGTGGAGGAGACGACCAGCTTGACAGGCCTGCTCTTTAATGTGTGGCTCTCTCAAGAAGAAAGAAGGTGGTAAGAATGGAAAGAAGGTTGGCATAGAACGGGTTTAGCTTTATGCTACCTTCAGAGATCTCACTGAGGGGCAAGGGGTTTATTCAGCAGTGCTGGTAAGTGGCTGCTTGAATTCAAAAAGGAGCTACTCATTGGTATACTGGATTTCGCAAGCCTCTGCTGTTCTCCACCTGTGTCTCCACACCTCTCCTTTGCAACAGATCCCCACCACCAGCACGCACCCATTCGGCATGCAGGCAGCCAAACCTGGGCTCCTCGCACCAAAAATGCAGGAGAATGTTTCCAGTGCCGATCCCAGCTCTGGAGAATTGGCGCATACAGTTTTAAGCTCTGTCTCTGCTCTAAAAATAGCCCATCCTGAGGCGGCACAAAATTCCCCCCCACTATCTAATTCTGCAGAAGCCTCCCTCAAAGCATCTGGCGGATGAGTGCTAAGACATGGTGCACACTTCCCACTCCTTTGTCCCTACAGAGCTGCCATTACAGACACAGCTGCCAGCTGTAAGCTTTGTGTCCCCATATTTTCTCTTCCACAGGTTCTGACCGGTATCTTGCCCATCCCTGACCCTGTTGCGTCAGCTCCCCGATGCCAAAGTCGCTTTCTCCCAACTGAACCCTTTTTGTTTGAGGTTGCTGCTGGGTTTGGGTTTTGTTGTTGTTGTTTCAATCTGTGTTCTTTTTGTTTGGTTGTTTTTTTTGTGCGTGAAGACTGGATCAGAGGCAAGAGAACAACAGACAAGTCAACACTAGTACACCTCAGACAATTAAACAAGGAGAAAGCACCCCCACGACCAGACAAAAGCAAAACGAACACATGCACAGGAGAAGAAGACAGTGCGACGGCAGACTTTACAGACAACTGAGCTGCGAGTGACAGTAGCAACCTCACTTGGACAGAGGAACAAGAGACCACAAAGTCAGACGTTGTTGGTAAGGCTCACACCTCGAGCAGAATCAGCTGAGGGGATGAGATAGGGCCAAGAGTGCTGATATCAAGCAGAGAGAGAGCAGGTGCTGCTTGGGGCAATACAACTGGTATTGGGGTTCTGCAATACTCAAAACACAGCTGCCTCTTCTACCTTTTGCTTCTCTGAGGGGGGCTTGTCATCTTGTTCCCCAAAGAGGCAACACGGCAGACACTTGGCTGTTGGGAACAACAGGCATCTTTTGCATACCACCACGGGTTAAATGGCACGTGGGACCTGGGCTGCTCCTGTGCTGGGAGTTCTCACCGCTGCAGCCTTACTTGGTGTGTAAAGTTATCCAGTCCCAGCAACAGGCATATTCTGATCTCTGTTACATAGGGTCGAATCTACAGTAGCTTCCTAAACTCAGAGGAAAAAGGCACCTCACACCGGGAATCTGACCTTGTGTCTCTATTAAGCTGGCTGTTTGAAATCAGCCCTGCACAGAAGAAGGGTCAGGAATAGGACCTGGCCTTCCTGCATGGGAAGGAACTTTGCCCCTTATTTATTAAGGATGAGAATCAAAGGCCTAGTCAGTTCCCCAGGCTTAATCCCATTGGTTTAGTGTGTGCTGGGACAAACCTTGCTCTATGAGGGTATTTCTGGTTTCCTTGGATTTAAGACCAGTGAATTACTCCCAGTAAATTTAATTGCACTGAGAGTATTTTTTGTTTTATTTTTTGACTAAGTGTAAACAAGAGAGAGGCTCACAAGGTAATAGCTGCAGACACAGCAGATTAAAAAAATCTGTTCTTAAACAATGGGTATATGTACCATGTAGGATTTTTTTTTTTTTCCCCCTCTTCCAGAGCCTCATATCCTTCTGAAATTCTGGTGTGGATCAGACTTAATCAGTGTGAGCCATCACTTCACTCTTTCCAGTTGTAAGTTTAATATTTAATGACATTTCAACTAAGGTCAGTTGCTAGAGCAGGGCAGAACCAGACTTTCAGTTCAGTCTTAGTTTAGGTTACTGCCTTAAGTCTCTCTAGTGAGAGGCTCCAAGTGGGAAGACTATTTAAAGTGCTTTTTTTCCCCCACAACTAGTTCCAGAGACTCAGTATTTTTCCTTATCACGATGGACTTTTCTTCCCCGCAAAACGTTGTCCCATCTGAAGACATGTCCGTTACATCTACCTGGTTTTTAATACAGTACCTATTCTTTGCTGTCAGTTAAGTGTGTGCCATCACACAAGGGCAAACAGAACAGCTGTTTGGCCAGATCTCATCTGGCATTGTATGAGAAACACTCCATTGAAGTGAGCATCTTATGCCACTTGAGGATGAGCCCATATGGTCAAATGCGCAAAGCTCCTACAGTGAGGGAGGTTGCAAAGCCATGTATCTTGGAAAGGAGCTGCTTAAGGAAAAAGTCATTCTTTAGATACTAACAGGTGGCTGCAGACATTACAACCGTAGGAAGTCCTGAATGACAGACAGTCAAGCAGACAGACATAAGTATAGACCAGGCAATTATTAGGCCCAGACAAAAACTGGGGCTCCAAGACAAGAGGCACTAGGGAATAGCAAAGGTAAGAATGGCAGAGAAACAGGTAAGTTTGGCTCTTGGCCAGCTTTGGGGCGTGTAAATAACTGAACTGATCCTGGGCATAGGAAACAATGAAAAAAAAAACCAAACCCAAGACACAGAAGCTGAAGCAGGGAGGAAAAGAGCCGAGAGTCATGGTGTCCTTTTCTCTTCACAGACATTGCGATCAAACAATAGCAGGCCACTGGCAGAGTCAAGGAATCCATAGAAGAAACCAGCAGTTTCTGATAATATTCATCATCCTTTTGTTCTGGATGTTTTCCCCATTTAAGCACAAGCCCTCTCAATACAAAATGATGGATGAAGGAGAAATGATTGGGATTCAGGGCTACCATCTTAAATTCTTGGGGCTAGTGCCTCCCTCCCTTATTCCTCTCAATAAAAATCTCTCTCTTCCCACTGCAGCCGGCAGGGCTACTGCTGACTGCTGCCCAGCATGCGCAAAAGCAATGCAGTCTGGGTGAATTTGCTTTTCTCCCCCAGCAGAACATGACTGCTACAGGAATCAGATACCACTGTGCCATCTAGGTACCCACGGGCTTTATCAACTCCTTCAGGCAACTCTGACTGGAAGCGAAGGAGATCTTCGGCTGTGGAAGTTGGTTTCAGACACTTGCCAGCTACCTCGAAACCCACACCTAAGCTGCGACCAGGGGAAGCAAAGGCAAAACCATGTTAGAGCTTCCTCGTACTTTGATTCAACCCATTATTGGGACGTTTGATACCGTAGATGAGTTTGGCTTCAGGCCCACGCCTCTCTGTGTTCCTCAAGCCAAGCCCAACCTGCTGCTGAAGTGCTATTTCAGCTTGGAGCAGTAGCAGAAGGAGATAGGTGGCTGTTCACGTGCAGGAAGAGTGGGACTGTTAACAGGACCCTCTCACTGCACTGTCAGTGTTTCTTAGGGTGGTATTAACCAGGTTCCCAGGCTCTCACCCTCTAAGAAGAGGGGGAGAGTAGCTCCTTTCCTCCCAGGCAAGGGGGGGGGGTCGTGCTTATGCAGCAGAGGGGTATGATCAGGGTGCAAGTCAGATCTAACACCATTCAGCTCGATACGCTTCTCCCCACATACCAGGAGGGACTCCTCTCTAGCATTAGTGAAGAATAACAGCACTGACATCAGCAAGGTACCACCAGTATAAAAGTGGCGTAAACCAGCCGGCACCAGCCCTGTTAAATGGACTAATGCCTTATAGTACTGTTCCCCTGGTACTAAGATTTCTTGGATTGCTTAAGGCAGGTTTCAGGGTATAGCAATGCAAACGACAAATCAGTTATATATTCCCAGGCCTTCCTTCCCCCCCCAGCAACTCCCCAAAACATGAACCAAAGCAAAAGAGACACTGTGCCTTCACGACCAGCTGGCAGCAGTCCCCATCCAAACCTGTGACCAGCCAAGCCATTCTAGCAACAGAAGGAACAGAGCACAGCAAAACCAAGCCAAAGGACCAAAGAAACGGGGGACTTGAGCTCTTGGATGAGAAACTCTGCATCTTCTTCATGTTGTCCCACCTCTGTACCCTTGGCCAACATTCCCCATAGGGTAGCTGGATGTGCAGGACAGCCGTGAATGCCAGGGAAAGGGGGGTTGAAAGTATAATGCAAATCTCTTTTCTCTTTTTTGTTTGTTTTTGTTTGTCTGCTTTTTACATATATACACAAGTCTGACAATAAAATGTGGAACACAGTGCAATGTCTTGGCTGCGTAGCATCCAGGACTGGCTTAGTTGTGCATCGTGGTGTGCCACAGGAACACACAGGATGGATAAGTAAAATTGTGTCCTCGGTTGGCTTCCATAGAGGAGCAAACTAGTAGCTGTTCCCCTGGAAGAAGAGCAAAGTCCTTTTTAAAACCTCACTGCAGTCTCTGGAGGGGAAGGCATTCCTCAGAGGTGCCGTGGGCTAGGGTGCCCATTATGGTACAGCTTCTGTTTGATGTGCACCATGTTCCCAGTCGCCTCCTCGTACTGCCTGTGATGACGTTTTCTGAACTCCTTTAAGTTACAAAATTTTGGAATCCAAGACCAGGAATTGTCTGGAAGGCAGAAAGGAGAAGGAAGATGAGATATTACAGGAATTGGCGAGACCCACGTTCTCCTGCCTTGCCTAGCCCCGTTCCTGGAGTGCCCCACCGAAACTGGGCGCTAGTTAACGGCCTTGGCAAGGCCACCCTCGAGGCTTCCCTTCAGACCACACTTATTTCCCAGCCAGACTTCGTGTCTTGGCTGTATCCACAGCACTGCCCGCTCCTCTCCCGGGCTTGGAACAGCCTGTGCCCTGGATGCAATCAACAGATACCCACCCCTCAGACACGACCCCGAGCAAAACACACCTGGGTTGTGCCTGCTATAGGAACGGCTCGTTTCAAGACCGGCACAAACGGGCTGCACCGTCCTACCGTGACAGTGAGGGTGGGAGTTAGAAGAGGAAAACTCCAGCTTTCTCCTCTTGGTAGGAACCAATTCCTTGTGATGAGCCCCATCCTCCAGCCCTCTTTGTGCCTTACTCACACTCTGAGTGTCGGGCTAACAGTAGGGGCAAGATTCAACAAAGGTAGTAACCTCATAATGATCTCTGCTAATCGCCGTAGCTAGCAAGGAGCTGCTCCGGGGACCAAGCTGCCAGGGAAACAGCAGCACGCTGCTGCCGCATACGGATCATCCCTGTTCTTTTCTTCTGTCTTCTGAAGCATTGGCCGATTTCATGCAACATCAGCACAAGCCACTTTCTGCCCCACAGCCGGTGCAGGCTGGACAGCATCATTTTTTTTTTTAATCCAGTGTTTCAGGTCTCAGCCCACAAACTTTTCCCGTACCAGTATTTCAGCTGCCATTCAGTTTCATGAGAGCTTTGGGCCATTCCACCCAGAAATACACATATCCCAACCCCACAAAGGAGAATTTGAAAGTCCCAGAGAACAATAGATTGCATAAAGTCGAACTATTGCAACTACCATGAGGTGGTATGTGACTGCTCTGACCAGCACTGCAGCTACTATGAAGCGCAATGGGATGTCTGAATTTCTATAGAATATTTTCTATTTTAAGAATTCTCTTCCATCAGGAAGGAGCTATAGGTTATTCTAATAGACCAAAATTTAAGCTGATCAGGCCACAGTGTGACATTGAGTCATTGCTAAGTGGTACTCATGTATTTCAGGGAGGGCTCTACATTCTGTACCAGTACAGTATTTTATGTTACCCCTATCTCTCATAGTCACAGGCACCATTTCTTTCTTTAGAAGGAAGTTTTAGCTTAGGTACTCATTCAACAAAGACATAGGTATACTTTCTGCTTATTGCCTTTAAAATGACTAGATTTGCATAGTTGATTTGAATTAATAGGAAATACCTAAAAGCTCAACACTCATTATTTTGCTCCAAATTCCCCAGTGATTTTCCAGCCTGTCTTTAGCAAAATGCACTCAGCATAGCACACAAGCGCACTGCTTTGGACAGAACAGCTCAAGGCATGTAAAAACCTTTACTGGAAAGAGACATCACGTCCCGTTGCACAGTATACGCTAGAAACCTGACCTACCTACAGATTAGATGAGGAGGGTTTCCAGGGTCTCTTCTACCGCACATCTGATTATGAGGACACAGGGTTGGTTGTTAACAGAGGTGGGAACAGCGCAAGCACACAGCTGTGGAACAACCAACCTAGTTTAAGAGCAGACTGGTCCCGTGTGGCTGGTGCGACACCACAAAGACGGCACTAAGAGACAACGTCTCAGGCCAGAGCGGGTGTCAGCCTTCTGCACCATGAAAGGAGCACTGCCGGCGGGGTTGCTAAGGGAAGAAAAAGCCGGGTGCGAAGTAATACTGCATTTATTTTCTGAGAAGATGTATCCGCACATTATATTGCGCCATTGGCCAGCCCCTTCTTAAAAACTTAGAATATGCATACACAGAGAGAAAAAAAAAAATGAAAGAAAAAAGATTGTTCGGATTAAATACTAAACCAATTCCTAGCATTGCCCTGAATTACTAAAAATAAAAATCTACGCAGCATCAATTCACAAGAAGGTAGTTTAGATGGCAATACCATGCCTGTAGCTCACCGCTCTGTAACGAAAGGCAACAGCTCTGAAGAAGGATATTGCTGTACTCGCTACAGCATCTCACCCAAGGATAGCTCTTGCCAGCCCTGCTGACTCTATGAGCACTGATGAGATCACAGCCACAGGTGGTCTGATCAAAAACAGGTGTCAAGGCCTCAAGATTGGCTCGGTACCTTAGATCTCGCTGGAAACACTGACAATTAGCCTTCTGCTTGGGAAATGACAGCAACATAGCCTCAAGAGAGTCCTGATTCAGAAACTGCTCAAGCAGGCTGCTGGGGATTTGGGAAGACTAATGAGAAATTAATATCATTTTGATCTGAGTTTTTAGAAAGAGATAGTCCACTTCCCTAATTAAAATTTCTTACAGGTTTACAGATGAATCTTTCTCTTGCTCACTCTCCTTTTCCTCTGAGTTGTAATTTAACGGGCACCATCAGTCAGAGTTAGACTGAGATCTGTAGGTATACTGTTACGGAATTTCGAGTCATTCACTCTTTTAATAGTTTTTCTGTCTTTTTTCCCCTCCAAAAATTAAAGTCCACGGGATGTCCATGCTGAGAGAGCAAAGAGGGGCAGAGAGGGCCTCTGAAGGAGCATCTGTTGGTCATTCTCAGGATGTTAGTTCAGGATGCTAAGCTAAGTGGTCCAAAGACTAACTAGTATGGCTAACACTTTTCCCTGTGGGGCTGATGTCACTACGGGGAAAAAAAATTAACACATCTGGAACAGCAGTGAGGATGGGGAAACCTCAGCTGCTGCATCCGTGACACAGCACAGAAATGTCTGCCATTGTCAGCACATCGTCATACGTTTATACAAACCACAAGAGGCTGCACTCCATAAGCATGTGCCTGGCTGCAAATTATATGCACAGAAAAATCCAGATTCCAGGGAAGTTTTGTCTGGCCTGAAAATATTCTGCCCACATGTGCAGCCATACAACCACCATCTGCCAGCCTGCCTACGGGTAAACACGTTGCTTTCCATCAACCACCCCTTTGTACCAACACATACTTTACGCTTTCCAAAGCAGAGCCCTCAAGGCTAGGATCCTCGGCTGGCTATTTCCACGTAAACATTCCTGCTTGTATAAAGAGGCCGGTCAGGCCTGTGCCAAATCCGCATGGAATAAACGCTGCGAGGCTGTTGACCTCGTCCCTCTCCACCAGCCTCAGAGGACAGCGCAAGGGATTGAGGAAAGAGAAGGGAGCCCATGAGGCTGCACTTACCATACCGTCGGCTAGTTCTCCAGGCTCGCACTGCATAATGGAGAACCCCATCCATCCACACCAGAAACCAGCTTATACAAAAGCCCAGCAAAAGTCCCAGCATCAGATCAATCTCTTGCTTGGTTACATTGTCAGTCACAAAGTAATTCTCCGAGGAGTCCACCACTGACTGATCCCCATCATATGGAATAACATAATGGACATGATGCCTGTTGCAGGGAACAGAAACAGGGAAAAGCATCAGTGGAGAAGAGCAGAGTACGTTTTTTCCGTCCAGCGCCTGCTGTTGCAGCCAGGGGCTGGTTTAACACCATTCCTTCAAGTTTCTACCAAGGTCCCCGGGAGTAGAAGTGCTGTCTCGGCTTTTTTGTGCTTATGTCAGCATAGAAATTGGCAGAGCGCGAGGCAGAAAAGTATAGAAACCTGAACCCACGCCTGGAACTCACGTCGCATTCCTGACACAGGCTCTTTGTGCCTAAAAGTTCGTCATCTGTAAAACGGAAGATAATATTAAGGCCAGCGGGAGGTTGGAGTGGTCGCCCCCCCGAGACGTAAAGGGCATTACTGCGTTCGTGTTCACAGGCAGAGGTCAATAACACTTTGCTCCTGTGAGTACATGCAGTCTGAGAGCGCGGCTGCGTCGCCCTGCAAGTGCAATCGTAACATACCGCTCCACGGGAGTTGTTAGAAAAATCCTCTGCTAAGCAGGACTGCCAGTGCTAGCAGCCTCGTGGCATGTCTCCAGACGTGTGCTGTTTTGCTTAATGTCCCGTCTCTCGGAGTAAAATGAGAATCATATCTTTCACATATTGGAGCAGAGCATGTTTACAGCCATGGAGGAAGGACTTGAAAGCATGCCTTGAATTCATCCTCAGACAGCAGATGGCAGAGACCCTGCAGCGTATCGCTCCTGGAAAAGTCACGCGAGCTCTAAGACCGTCTCAGGTTCTCTTACTGCATGACTGGGCTGGTTTGGGATGCAGGGTCTCCCTCATCCTCCTCAGGGAAGAGGCAGCGATAACCGCCCGTAGCGGCAGAGGGAACGCGTGGACTCTGGAGCTTTCAGAGACGTACGTCTCTCTCGGGGGTTCTGGAGAGGCTGGCCCCATGCCTTACGCCAGAAGGGCAACTGGGTTCATTTGTGCAATGAGACGACGGAGACCAAGCTTGGGCTGATGCTGAACTGCTTGAAGGACCCTGGTTAACTTGGGAAAAGCAGGAAAAATGGCAGGGCTGGAGTGAGGGAGTTGTGGAGTAGAAAAAAATAAGGCAGGTCTGTGGGGGCT